TCTGAGACAGAATAAAGAGATCTGTATGGTGACAGAATAAAGAGATCTGAGACAGATTAAAGAGATCTGAGACAGAATAAAGAGATCTGTATGGTGACAGAATAAAGAGATCTGAGACAGAATAAAGAGAGCTGTATGGTGACAGAATAAAGAGATCTGTGACAGAATAACAAGATCTGTACGGTGACAGAATAAAGAGATCTGAGACAGAATAAAGAGATCTGAGACAGAATAAAGAGATCTGTACGGTGACAGAATAAAGAGATCTGTGACAGAATAAAGAGATCTGAGACAGAATAAAGAGATCTGTATGGTGACAGAATAAAGAGATCTGAGACAGAATAAAGAGATCTGTATGGTGACAGAATAAAGAGATCTGTATGGTGACAGAATAACGAGATCTGAGACAGAATAAAGAGATCTGTATGGTGGCAGAATAAAGAGATCTGAGACAGAATAAAGAGATCTGTATGGTGACAGAATAAAGAGATCTGAGACAGAATAAAGAGATCTGTATGGTGACAGAATAAAGAGATCTGAGACAGAATAAAGAGATCTGTATGGTGACAGAATAAAGAGATCTGAGACAGAATAAAGAGATCTGTACGGTGACAGAATAAAGAGATCTGTGACAGAATAAAGAGATCTGAGACAGAATAAAGAGATCTGTATGGTGACAGAATAAAGAGATCTGAGACAGAATAAAGAGATCTGTACGGTAACAGAATAAAGAGATCTGAGACAGAATTAAGAGATCTGAGACAGAATAAAGAGATCTGTATGGTAACAGAATAAAGAGATCTGTATGGTGACAGAATAAAGAGATCTGTGACGGAATAAAGAGATCTGAGACAGAATAAAGAGATCTGTATGGTAACAGAATAAAGAGATCTGTGACAGAATAAAGAGATCTGTATGGTGACAGAATAAAGAGATCTGAGACAGAATAAAGAGATCTGTGACAGAATAAAGAGATCTGTATGGTGACAGAATAAAGAGATCTGAGACAGAATTAAGAGATCTGAGACAGAATAAAGAGATCTGTATGGTGACAGAATAAAGAGATCTGTAAGGTGACAGAATAAAGAGATCTGAGACAGAATAAAGAGATCTGTATGTTGACAGGCTAAAGAGATCTGAGACAGAATAAAGAGATCTGAGACAGAATAAAGAGAGCTGTATGGTGACAGAATAAAGAGATCTGTGACAGAATAACGAGATCTGTATGGTGACAGAATAAAGAGATCTGAGACAGAATAAAGAGATCTGTACGGTGACAGAATAAAGAGATCTGTGACAGAATAAAGAGATCTGTGACAGAATAACAAGATCTGTATGGTGACAGAATAAAGAGATCTGAGACAGAATAAAGAGATCTGTACGGTGACAGAATAAAGAGATCTGTGACAGAATAAAGAGATCACAAAGAGACAGAATAAAAGAATCTGTATAGTGACAGAATAAAAAGAGAGATCTGAGACAGAATAAAGAGATCTGTATGGTGACAGAATAAAGAGATCTGTATGGTGACAGAATAAAGAGATCTGTATGGTGACAGAATAACAAGATCTGTATGGTGACAGAATAAAGAGATCTGAGACAGAATAAAGAGATCTGTACGGTGACAGAATAAAGAGATCTGAGACAGAATAAAGAGATCTGTATGTTGACAGGCTAAAGAGATCTGAGACAGAATAAAGAGATCTGTGACAGAATAAAGAGATCTGAGACAGAATAAAGAGATCTGTACGGTGACAGAATAAAGAGATCTGTGACAGAATAAAGAGATCTGAGACAGAATAAAGAGAGCTGTATGGTGACAGAATAAAGAGATCTGAGACAGAATAAAGAGATGTGAGACAGAATAAAGAGATCTGTATGGTGACAGAATAAAGAGAGCTTTATGGTGACAGAGTAAAGAGATCTGAGACAGAATAAAGAGATCTGAGACAGAATAAAGAGATCTGTATGGTGACAGAATAAAGAGATCTGTATGGTGACAGAATAAAGAGATCTGAGACAGAATAAAGAGATCTGTATGGTTACAGAATAAAGAGATCTGTATGATGACAGAATAAAGAGAGCTGTATGGTGACAGAATAAAGAGATCTGAGACAGAATAAAGAGATCTGTATGGTGACAGAATAAAGAGATCTGAGACAGAATAAAGAGAGCTGTATGGTGACAGAATAAAGAGATCTGTGACAGAAGAATAAAGAGATCTGTGACAGAATAACAAGATCTGTATGGTGACAGAATAAAGAGATCTGAGACAGAATAAAGAGATCTGTACGGTGACAGAATAAAGAGATCTGTGACAGAATAAAGAGATCTGTATGGTGACAGAATAAAGAGATCTGTGACAGAATAAAGAGATCTGAGACAGAATAAAGAGATCTGCATGGTGACAGAATAAAGAGATCTGTGACAGAATAAAGAGATCTGAGACAGAATAAAGAGATCTGTATGGTGACAGAATAAAGAGATCTGAGACAGAATAAAGAGATCTGTACGGTGACAGAATAAAGAGATCTGTGACAGAATAAAGAGAGCTGTATGGTGACAGAATAAAGAGATCTGAGACAGAATAAAGAGATGTGAGACAGAATAAAGAGATCTGTATGGTGACAGAATAAAGAGAGCTTTATGGTGACAGAGTAAAGAGATCTGAGACAGAATAAAGAGATCTGAGACAGAATAAAGAGATCTGTATGGTGACAGAATAAAGAGATCTGTATGGTGACAGAATAAAGAGATCTGAGACAGAATAAAGAGATCTGTATGGTGACAGAATAAAGAGATCTGTATGGTGACAGAATAAAGAGAGCTGTATGGTGACAGAATAAAGAGATCTGAGACAGAATAAAGAGATCTGTATGGTGACAGAATAAAGAGATCTGAGACAGAATAAAGAGAGCTGTATGGTGACAGAATAAAGAGATCTGTGACAGAATAACAAGATCTGTATGGTGACAGAATAAAGAGATCTGTATGGTGACAGAATAAAGAGATCTGTACGGTGACAGAATAAGAATAGAATAGGTTTTGGATCATATTTGGGATATCACTGGACTGCTTTACACGAGGTATCGGTTTGGGATCTTATTAGGGATATCACTAGTAGGGTTTACACAAGAAATCGGTTTAGGATAATATAAGGGATATTACAGGAAGGGTTTATATGAGGTATCAGTTTGGGATCATATTAGGGATATCACTAGTAGGGTTTACACAAGGAATCGGTTTAGGGTCATATTTAGGATATGACTGGAAGGGTTTACATGAGGAATCGCTTTGGGATTATACTAGGGATGTCACTGGTAGGGTTTACACAAGGAATCTGTTTGGGGTCATATTTGGGATATTACTGGAAGGGTTTACATGAGGAGTCAGTTTGGGATCACATTAGGGAAATCACTGGAAGGTTTACACGCGGAATGGGTTTGGGATCATATTTGGGATATCACTGGTAGGGTTTACACACGGAATCGGTTTGGGATCATGTACTCCATACTAGGCATATCTACGAAGGGTTACACGAGCAATCATTTTGGTATGCTAGCCAGGCTCTTGGCAGGAATCAGCTGACATCCCAAGTATATGTTAGATTGTGTTACTTCTTGGCACTGACTAATCGGAAATTGAAATGAAGGCATATTTTAAGAACAGCACAGTCAGCTGCTGGTTTTGCTAAGGGTGTGAAAATATTGATATCAGCTGCAACGCATTATTCCATAAGTTCCTAAATCAGGCCGGAAAATATGTCAAGTAAGTACAATTAACATTTTCTATTCCGAGGGACCAGTCAGCAAATTTAAAGAGATTAACAGAATGTATTTAAACAGCAACTAATTACTAATTACAGCTCGTACACTGATTCTTAAACAGTTTATCTATGAATGAAATGCAGTCTGTTTCCTATTAAAATATTGGTGCTAAGAAGTGTGCACATTCAATAAGCCACCATAGGCGTGCGCTGTGTGTGTGTGTGTGTGCTGTGTGAGGGTGCTGGTAGTGTGCTATGTGGGTGTTTGTGTGTGTGTGCGCTTGTGAGGGTGCTGTTAATGAACTGTGTGTGAGGGTGCTGTTTGTGTGTGAGAGTACTGGTAGTGTGCTGTGTGTGTGTTTGTTAGGGTCCTGTTAGTGTGTTTGTGAGGGTACTGTTAGTGTGCTGTGTGTGTGTGAGGGTGCTGTATGTGTGAGGGTGCTGTATGTGTGTGTGTGTGTGAGGGTGCTGTATGTGTGTGTGTGTGTGATGTGTGTGGGTGCTGTTTGTGTGCTGTATGTGTGTGTGTATTTGGGTGTGTGTGTGCTGTTTGGGTGATTTGTGGGGGTGGAGGTGGGGGCAGATTAGTTAATAAATATCCCCCCTCCCTTCTTACGTTATGTAGGGAGGGGGGACCGTGCTGCTGCCTTCCCTGGTGGTCCAGTGGAGGTGGGGGCAGATTGCTTAATATGCCCCCTCCCTTGTTACCAGGGAGGGGGGATCCTTTCTGCCTTCCCTGGTGGTCCTAGTGGTGAGAATGAACTCTAGCCTGCGGGGGCAACGCTCAGATCTCGCGAGAGGAACCCGGTGGAGCTGCTGGCAAGAGCTCCCCGGGTCCTCTCCTGCCTCCCTCCCTGCCTGTGGATCGGTGGGGAGGGAGGCTAAAAACAGAGCCGGCGCTCGGATAGCCGGTCTATGGTTATCAGTGAATTAGTGTAAGTGTGGGGTACCCAGCTCTCTGCCAGTCTATGGTTATCAGTGAATTAGTGTAAGTGTGGGGTACCCAGCTCTCTGCCAGTCTATGGTTATCAGTGAATTAGTGTAAGTGTGGGGTACCCAGCTCTCTGCCTGTCTATGGTTATCAGTGAATACAGTGTAAGTGTGGGGTACCCAGCTCTCTGCCAGTCTATGGTTATCAGTGAATTAGTGTAAGTGTGGGGTACCCAGCTCTCTGCCAGTCTATGGTTATCAGTGAATTAGTGTAAGTGTGGGGTACCCAGCTCTCTGCCAGTCTATGGTTATCAGTGAATACAGTGTAAGTGTGGGGTACCCAGCTCTCTGCCAGTCTATGGTTATCAGTGAATACAGTGTAAGTGTGGGGTACCCAGCTCTCTGCCAGTCTATGGTTATCAGTAAATACAGTGTAAGTGTGGAGTACCTAGCTCTCTGCCAGTCTATGGTTATCAATGAAATAGTGTAAGTGTGGGGTACCCAGCTCTCTGACAGTCTATGGTTATCAATGAATTAGTGTAAGTCTGGGGTACCTAGCTCTCTGCCAGTCTATGGTTATCAGTGAATACAGTGTAAGTGTGGGGTACCGTATATCGATGTATACAGTGTATGCCGGGTGTGTCAGTCTGTGGCTATCGATGTATATGGTGTATGCCGGGTGTGCCAGTCTGTGGCTAGCGATAAATACGGTGTATGCCGGCTGTGCCAGTCTGTGGCTAGCGATGTATACGGTGTATGCCGGGTGTGCCAGTCTGTGGCTAGCGATGTATACGGTGTATGCCGGCTGTGCCAGTCCGTGGCTATCGATGTATACGGTGTATGCCGGCTGTGCCAGTCCGTGGCTAGCGATGTATACGGTGTATGCCGGCTGTGCCAGTCCGTGGCTAGCGATGTATACGGTGTATGCCGGCTGTGCCAGTCTGTGGCTAGCGATGTATACGGTGTATGCCGGCTGTGCCAGTCTGTGGCTATCAGCAGACACAGTAATTAATATAATAAATGGGACAGTGATGTATATGGTTCAGTCATTGAGTTAATGGAAGCAGTAATAATAATAATAATAATAATATAATAATAATAATAATATAATAATAATAATAATAATATAATAATAATATAATATAATAATAATAATAATAATATAATAATATAATAATAATAATATAATAATAATATAATAATAATAATATAATAATATAATAATAATAATATAATGATAATAATAATAATAATATAATAACAATAATAATATAATAATAATATAATAATAATAATATAATAATAATAATAATAATATTATAATATAATATAATAATAATAATAATAATATAATATAATAATAATAATATAATAATAATAATAATAATATAATAATAATAATAATAATATAATAATAATAATATAATAATATAATAATATAATATAATAATAATAATAAAGGTTATTACGATGCCGCCCCCCTCTCCCCCCCCGGGTCTCCGTGTTGGGCCTCGGCCTCTCCCAGCTCCCCCTCCCCCTCCTCCTCCCCCTCCAGCCGGCTGCATACTCCCCGGCTCCCCCCCTCCCGGCTCTCAGTCCCAGCGCACAGGCCGCAGCCGGAGCCGGAGCCCGGGAGAGGAAATCGGCGGCCAGAGAGCGAACTGCGGCCCCACAGCCAGGTCAGTACCGAACCCGGGCCGGGCCTCCCCCCAAACCGGTACCGAGCTTCCCCCCCCCGCTACCGGTACCGGTACCGAGCCCGGGGCCTCCCCCCAAACCGGTACCGAGCTTCCCCCCCCCGCTACCGGTACCGGTACCGAGCCCGGGGCCTCCCCTAAACCGGACACGGGGACACCGACCGACCGGGGAGACATTCCTGGGGACACCCGGCACCCGGTAACAATAAATACACCCGGGTAACATTATCCACCCCGGGTAACATTATCCCCACCCCGGGTAACATTATCCCCACCCCGGGTAACATTATCCCCACCCCGGGTAACATTATCCACCCCGGGTAACATTATCCCCACCCCGGGTAACATTATCCCCACCCCGGGTAACATTATCCCCACCCCGGGTAACATTATCCCCACCCCGGGTAACATTATCCCCACCCCGGGTAACAATAAATACACCCAGTAACATTATACACCCGGTAACCGGTAGCATTATACCCGGTAGCAATACACCCAGCTCCCGGTAACATTATATCCGGTAACAATGCACCCGGTAACATTATATCCGGTAACAATACACCCGGCACCCGGTAGCATTATACCCGGTAACATTATATCCGGTAACAATACACCCGGCACCCGGTAGCATTATACCCGGTTACAATATACCTGGTAACAATACACCCAGCACCCGGTAACATTATACCCGGTAACATTATACCCGGTAGCAATATACCCGGTAACAATGCACCCGGTAGCATTATACCAGGTTACAATATACCCAGTAACAATGCACCCGGTAGCATTATACCCGGTTACAATATACCTGGTAACCATACACCCAGCACCCGGTAACATTATACCCAGTAACAATACACCCAGCACCCGGTAACATTATACCCGGTAGCAATATACCCGGTAACAATGCACCCGGTAGCAATATACCCGGTAACATTATCCCCACCCCGGGTAACATTATCCCCACCCCGGGTAACATTATCCCCACCCCGGGTAACATTATCCACCCCGGGTAACATTATCCCCACCCCGGGTAACATTATCCCCACCCCGGGTAACATTATCCCCACCCCGGGTAACATTATCCCCACCCCGGGTAACATTATCCACCCCGGTAACATTATCCACCCCGGGTAACAATAAATACACCCGGTAACATTATACACCCGGTAACCGGTAGCATTATACCCGGTAGCAATACACCCAGCTCCCGGTAACATTATATCCGGTAACAATGCACCCGGTAACATTATATCCGGTAACAATACACCCGGCACCCGGTAGCATTATACCCGGTAACATTATATCCGGTAACAATACACCCGGCACCCGGTAGCATTATACCCGGTTACAATATACCTGGTAACAATACACCCAGCACCCGGTAACATTATACCCGGTAACATTATACCCGGTAACATTATACCCGGTAACATTATACCCGGTAGCAATATACCCGGTAACAATGCACCCGGTAGCATTATACCAGGTTACAATATACCCAGTAACAATGCACCCGGTAGCATTATACCCGGTTACAATATACCTGGTAACAATACACCCAGCACCCGGTAACATTATACCCAGTAACAATACACCCAGCACCCGGTAACATTATACCCGGTAGCAATATACCCGGTAACAATGCACCCGGTAGCAATATACCCGGTAACAATGCACCCGGTAGCATTATACCAGGTTACAATATACCCAGTAACAATGCACCCGGCACCATGAGACCCAGTGTGACTAAGTGCCCTTCGCCACTTATGTCTAGAGGGGACTACTGGCTAGTCTCCTGCCTTCCGGCTATGGCCCCTGTGCTGATAGCTGTATTTTACCCTGCAATAAGGTTTATTTGGGTATTTCTGCCGGGTTGTTCGGGACTTTCAGTATGTGAGTAGTGCTACACCAGATAGCTATGCCATGGAGCTAATTCGAGTAATGAAAGACTATGGAAAAGACTTTGGCTCCATGGCGATTGAATTGTATGTATGTGATCTGAGCGCCATTCAATAATAATGTGCGCTCAGATCTAAGTTATCTGGGGATATGTTGCATTTATATGTTTTATGTAGTAATTGTAACATTGTGTAATTTTATGTCTTTTTGTAACCATGTGGTTAATGGAGTCTTGCCTCTGTCCTTCCCAATTATCTCCAGGATAGAGAGGAGGGATTGTGATGTCACTGTGGGAGTGTTTTGTTTGTATTGTCTGTGATTGGCTTATATCCAATATGTGTCCCATTGTTCCATCAGGTCCCCTAGGGGAGTGTCCACCTGGTGGACACTTGCATAAATACCAGGCAGGTATCCCTCAATAAACCAAACCTACTTGAACCTTTCTTGAAGCCTTGGCTCATGCTTGGGGGATGGGATAACTACACTCAGGGGATTGCTATAATCACATACTCCCCAGTGTCAACTCTTGCAAGAGCTTGTTTTGTTCCTGCTCTCTGGATTTAGGAGAGGTTCACCCACTGGAAGCTGGATCCTGGCCTTGGATCCAGGGTGGGTGAGAGACGGCGAGACCCCGGCGCAGCTGCATCGCTAAGTGGGGTCTGCAGTGCTGATGGTGTCGGTTGGAGTGATCGGAGTCCTTGGCAAGCGCTAGGAGCATCGATTGGCGGTGGTACTCGGTCAGAGTGCCAGCGTTCCGTCACATCCAGTAACAATACACCCAGCACCCGGTAACCATACACCCAGCACCAAGTAACATTATACCCGGTAACATGGCAACCCGGCACCCGGTAACAATACACACAGCACCCAGCAACCGGTAACAATACACACGGCACCTGGCAGCAGTACACCCGGTAACACGGCAACAATACACCCGGCAACACAGCACCTGGCACCCGGTAACAATACACCCAGTAACAAGGCACCCGGCAACACAGCAACCGTCACCCGGTTGTGCCAGTAACACAGCACCCGGCAACAATACACCTGGTAAAACAGCACCTGGTAACAATGAACCCTGTAACACTCCACCCGACAGCAAAACACCAGGTAACAGTACACCCGGCATCCAGTAACAATACACCCGGGACCCGGTAACCATACTGTGACAGAACCATCTGTCTGTTTATTGTGGTGGATTCGTCTGTTTCTGCCCTGTTCGTGTAAATGGCTGTTTCCTATAGCCCAGCCATACGAATGACTGTTTTTCCTGAACAAAATTACCGAACGGATGGCCACCCAGGAGAGAAGTGTGCTGCTGGTTAACCTATTGATCCCAGTTAGAACGTTGTGGTTAACCGCAGACACTTCTCAATTAAACCGAATTCAGGGTGGTCGTCGTTCGTATGTCGACCACGAGGCAGCGGCCATTTTAAAACACGCGAAAGCCCAGTGGTGTTCGGCTCTATTTTCATGGAACTAAAAACGGACACTTTTTCTGCCGAACACCACTGAAACAACGGAACGCATGGCTGCCTCCACGAAACCGTACGAACACTGGCCGTTCAGGAGTTTTGAAACACACGAAAGGACTTAACCCAGATAGCCTTCCCATGGAGTCAATCGCATACCGAAAGACTGTAAGAACTTTGACTCCATGGCGATTGAACTGTGTGTGTGGGATCTGAGCGCTATTCGCTAATAATATGCACTCAGATCCAGGCTATCTGGGGATATGTGATGCAAATGGGAAATGTTCGGTTATTTTAAAGTTATGTATTTTTATGTATTTTCTAGTATTGTATTTAAGATGGCGATTTGTCTTTTGTCCTGGAGATAATTGAATTACTTCTCAATTATCTCCAGGGCAGAGGGGAGGAAACCATATTGCATTGTGGGTAAAGGCTGTGCCTGTATGTCTGGAATGTCTTCATGTCCATCTGTAATTCCAGTCTCCCATTTGGTCCCCTAGGGGAGTGTCCACCAAGTGGGAGACCTGCATAAATACGGGCAGGTAGCCCACAGTAAAGCCAGATCCTGTTTGACCCTCAGTGCGGAGCTTCTGTCTCGTTATTGGGGGGATTTCTTCTTTGCGCTTAGAGACTGCTGGATGGAACCGAAAGCCGCTTGGTGGATATCGTTGTTCGGCGGCTAGCAACAGTTTGTGGATTTCCGTTCGGGAGTTTGGTGTCTTTCACGGATCCCGGTCGGCAGATTACCGCTTCTCTTGGTTATGGTTCGTGTATTATAATTGATGCGAACGGATTACTGAATTTGCGAAAGGGGAAGGTGAACTAAACGGCGGTTTCTCTTAAAGACACCAGGGGTGTCTTAACTCATACACCCGGTAACAATACACCCGGGACCTGGTAACCATACACCTGGTAACCATACACCCGGGACCCGGTAACCATACACCCGGTAACAATACACCCGGGACCCGGTACCACTATACCGGTAACACTGCACCATCTAAACATAAATATCGCTTCCTTTATACCATTCTAATGCTTCCACATCAATACCACTTCCCCTGTATCCCCTATAAATTACTACCACTTTCTCTATATTCCCTATACATCAGTACCACTTCCTCTGTAACCCCTGTACATCAGTACCATTTCCTCTGTAACCCCTGTACATCAATACCACTTCCTCTGTATCCCCTGTACATCAATACCACTTCCTCTGTATCCCCTGTACATCAATACCACTTCCTCTGTATCCCCTGTACATCAATACCACTTCCTCTGTATCCCCTGTACAGCAATACCACTTCCTCTGTAACCCCTGTACAGCAATACCACTTCCTCTGTATCCCCTGTACAGCAATACCACTTCCTCTGTATCCCCTGTACATCAATACCACTTCCTCTGTATCCCCTGTACATCAATACCACTTCCTCTGTATCCCTTGTACATCAATACCACTTCCTCTGTATCCCTTGTACATCAATACCACTTCCTCTGTATCCCCTGTACAACAATACCACTTCCTCTGTATCCCCTGTACATCAATACCACTTCCTCTGTATCCCCTGTACAACAATACCACTTCCTCTGTATCCCCTGTACAACAATACCACTTCCTCTGTATCCCCTGTACATCAATACCACTTCCTCTGTATCCCCTGTACATCAATACCACTTCCTCTGTATCCCCTGTACATCAATACCACTTCCTCTGTATCCCCTGTACAACAATACCACTTCCTCTGCATCCCCTGTACATTAACATCACTGTATATTATTCTGCTTCCATCATACACACTATACATAAATACCAGTTCCACTCAGTCCCCTTATACGTAAAAGAACACTTTTTTTTTTATTTGAGGCTCTCCACTCTGTACTGTATGCATTGAAGGGACACCGTAGGTATTCTCATAATTTCATCTAATTGAATTGGTTATGGTGTTTGGAGTCCCCTGGCACTGTTCTTGTATTCAGAATTAAACCATTTCTGAACATGTTAACACTGAGGCCCTTTGTCACACACAGCCCGGCTGACTGGAAGTAAGCCTAAGGCAGACATTGCACAATTCCTTTTAGCCATACCATGTCATACTAGCAGTGGGCACCGTGATAGGCTGAAAGTAGTCAGTTGACACTCACAGCCTCCTATTGCTGCTCAGGCTAACACGTCCTTATTATCCCAGCACAGAGGGGATAGGGCTACTTGTTCGCATAGCTTTAAAACATTAGAAAATGTTTAAAGAAACATTGTAGTCACCAGAATCACTACACTCATTACACTGTAAACGCTGCCTTTTCAGGGAAAAGGCAGTGTTTACACTGCTGCCTAGCAACACTTTTTCCGTCTGTCAATCTAGCAGCCACTAGACTGACGTCCTGGCTTTTGTCCTACAAAAATTACAGGATGGACGTTTAGGATGTGCAGACACTAAACACTTCCCATAGAAATGCAGTGATTCATTGCGTCTTTATTAGGAGATGCTGAATGGTGCAACTTGGCATTTTGCTGCACATGCACCCTAGCCTTCAAAAGCCTGTGTGAAAACATTAAATTGGCTGATCATGTCAAGGTTGATCTCATCTAAGGAAGTGAGGCTGGCCATGGAGAAAAGATACGGTAATAAATCACCTTTTCATGCACCGAACTAAATGATTGCGAATGTGGATTGTGGAGTCAGGTGAGATTGATCCCGAATGTATTAGTTCCAATATCGCTTAGCAGAAATTTTATTTGCACAAATTCTTTAAAAATATTTTTGCACAAATCTACTATATATCACAGATAGCTTACACCATGATACTGCGTACCCTATATACCACAACTACCTTATACCATGATACTGCGTACCCTATATACCACAATTAACGTACACCATGATACTGCCTACCCTATATACCACAACTACCTTACAGAATGATACTCCGTACCCTATATACCACAACTACCTTACACCATGATACTGCTTACTGTATATACCACAATTAACGTACACCATGATACTGCCTACCCTATATACCACAACTACCTTATACCATGATACTGCGTACCCTATATACCACAACTACCTTACAGAATGATACTCCGTACCCTATATACCACAACTACCTTATACCATGATACTGCTTACTGTATATACCACAACTACCTTACACCATGATACTGCTTACTGTATATACCACAACTACCTTACACCATGATACTGCTTACTGTATATACCACAATTAACGTACACCATGATACTGCCTACCCTATATACCACAACTACCTTACAGAATGATACTCCTTACCCTATATACCACAACTAACTTACATCATGATACTGCGTACCCTATATACCACAACTACCTTACACCATGATACTGCTTACTGTATATACCACAATTACCGTACACCATGATACTGCCTACCCTATATACCACAACTACCTTATACCATGATACTGCGTACCCTATATACCACAACTACCTTACAGAATGATACTCCGTACCCTATATACCACAACTACCTTACACCATGATACTGCTTACTGTATATACCACAATTAACGTACACCATGATACTGCCTACCCTATATACCACAACTACCTTATACCATGATACTGCGTACCCTATATACCACAACTACCTTACAGAATGATACTCCGTACCCTATATACCACAACTACCTTACACCATGATACTGCTTACTGTATATACCACAACTACCTTACACCATGATACTGCTTACTGTATATACCACAATTAACGTACACCATGATACTGCCTACCCTATATACCACAACTACCTTACAGAATGATACTCCTACCCTATATACCACAACTAACTTACATCATGATACTGCACCACAACTACCTTACACCATGATACTGCTTACTGTATATACCACAATTAACGTACACCATGATACTGCCTACCCTATATACCACAACTACCTTATACCATGATACTCCTTACCCTATATACCACAACTAACTTACATCATGATACTGCGTACCCTATATACCACAACTACCTTACACCATGATACTGCTTACTGTATATACCACAATTAACGTACACCATGATACTGCCTACCCTATATACCACAACTACCTTATACCATGATACTGCGTACCCTATATACCACAACTACCTTACAGAATGATACTCCGTACCCTATATACCACAACTACCTTACACCATGATACTGCTTACTGTATATACCACAATTAACGTACACCATGATACTGCCTACCCTATATACCACAACTACCTTATACCATGATACTGCGTACCCTATATACCACAACTACCTTACAGAATGATACTCCGTACCCTATATACCACAACTACCTTACACCATGATACTGCTTACTGTATATACCACAACTACCTTACACCATGATACTGCTTACTGTATATACCACAATTAACGTACACCATGATACTGCCTACCCTATATACCACAACTACCTTACAGCATGATACTCCTTACCCTATATACCACAACTAACTTACATCATGATACTGCGTACCCTATATACCACAACTACCTTACACCATGATACTGCTTACTGTATATACCACAATTAACGTACACCATGATACTGCCTACCCTATATACCACAACTACCTTATACCATGATACTGCGTACCCTATATACCACAACTACCTTACAGAATGATACTCCTTACCCTATATACCACAACTACCTTACACCATGATACTGCTTACTCTATATACCACAATTAACGTACACCATGATACTGCGTACCCTATATACCACAACTGCCTTACAGAATGATACTCCTTACCCTATATACCACAACTAACTTACATCATGATACTGCGTACCCTATATACCACAACTACCTTACACCATGATACTGCTTACTGTATATACCACAATTAACGTACACCATGATACTGCCTACCCTATATACCACAACTACCTTACACCATGATACGGCTTACCCTATATATCACTATTATATGTAGTATATAGCATTTATTTGCCAGGAGGTTTCTTAGTTTGAAGAGGATGTATCATTTCGGAGGAGTCTTTGCATATTTTGGCATCTCTGTTTAGGGTCTGATGGCCATGGAGTGCTGACAAAAGTAGGTTTTACTACTAAAGCGGCCCTTGACCATCTTCATCCATGAAACCATAGTCCGCTCCTGGGGCTTCATCTGCCAGGAGCCACGTCTGTGTTGTTCACTCGTACATGCGAAAGAGCACAACAATGAGGTCTGTGGAGGTGCCTACATCACGTGTCACAATGAGTGAGACGATGCCTGAATTCCACAGTCACGGCTTGTGATGGCTACTGGGATTGGACAAACGTTGACAGCAGAGCTCTGTGTTTTGTCAACCTCAGGCTTGTCCGTAGCACAAAGTAATGTCTAGTTTATCTTATGGAATCGTTGGGTTGTGCTGGACTTTCAGTGAAATGCCAGGTTATATCTTTATGAAATACTAAGAACTGACCGTGCCACTTTAATGGTCATAGGAAGGTTCCTGGGAAAATCTCCCTTTATCACTACATTAATTTCCTTACTGCAATATATGGATTCTACCTACTATAGAGCAGGACCCTATACCTTGCACAGCGCCACCGATAAAGGAATTTAAAACACAGCCGTGATATTATAAAATGGACAGAAAGCGGACTGCCCCTCATAGCCTATAGTGCGCTGTTAATTTAAATGTATGTTATTTTTACTTAAAGTTGGACCTTTTTATAGCTGAGCATTAATACTTGGCTCGTTGCCTGAATGTTTTCTACGCAGCCCTCGTATGTCAGGGGTTAATCTGTTATTGCGACACCTACCTATGTATGACATTTCTTTCCCAAACTATTCCTGGGAGCTACTGGTACACCTTTCTACCTTGGTTTATTCACTAAAGTATTGTAGCACAAAACAGCCGCACCGAATATATTCTCCTATTTAAAGGAACGCTCAGAGGTAAAAAAAAATTGTTTATCTTGAGTTTACTCAACTTTTTTATTTATTTATTTTTGGGAGACCTTTTTAAAATTATTTTTAAAAAGCCTTTAAACCTACATGTAATCTAGATATAGTCTTGTCTCGGCAGTCGCTCCGTCCATGGTGAGATTATTCTGAAAGATCATCTCACTCCAGCCAAATCTTTTATGATTTAAGGTGCACGTGCAGCAACTGCCAATTAAATGATGCACATGCACGGCGTTCAGCATTCTCATGGTGTGAGTAATGATGCAAATGTGAAGACCTTCAATTTTTATGGGTGCTCCTTGTCTGACTGTCAGGCTTATAACTGCTAGAGGTGTGTCTATGGCCAAATGTAAACATTAACGTTTCCCTGAAAAGGCAATAGTTTACATTGCCAGACAGTAGCAACAGGGTCTGTGCACCAAACCTCTATGTGAAAATGAAGACTGTCCTTTTAACTAATTTTCTAGCTGTGCTATATTTGTCTAAGATATATCATTTCTTTGTCCGCCCTACATAGTTTCTGATCTAGGTAATAATACCAACAATTTGTTAATGATTTGTGGACGTGTTCATGAAACTATAATTCCATTGGATGCAGAATTAGGATTGCTGCATTTTTTTGTTGTCCATTTTTAAAATCCTTTATTCTAGCTAGCCATCACAAGTGACCATTTCATATTTTGCTAAATTGCTGAAGCACATACACTTAAATCAACGTTGGTTTTTAACAGATTGTTACTTAGTGCACTTCTTATTATTTAAGAGATAATTTGTGTGACCAGATCTAGGCTAGAGTTAAAACTTTTTTTTTTCTTTACCCCAGAGTGTGTGTCTCTGTATAACTGCTGAAAAATTGCTAGTGGCGACTTAAAGTTGCTGTGATTGTTCTGCTTTCTAATGCCACCAATCAATTCTCTGAGTGCAATCAGGCCTCATTAACTTTATAAAATACGTTGGCAAAATGCTAACGGTTGGGACTGACACGCAAGAATTGGCTGCCCTGCTATTTTAGCCTTTGCAAGTTTATTTCTTTTGTAGCTGCTGTACACAGTGGTTCATGTGACGTGTGGTTTAGCTGCTGATCTTGGAGTGGTTATGCGTTCTGGTCATTGAGCGATGTGCTATCCCCTTGTGACATCCAAGATAAACATACGGTGATCTGCAGGGTATCTGCAAAAACATCCAGTGTTACCCTGCGTTAAGCCGTGTTACTATACACTAAGTGTCAAAAGGTCCATCGTTCACAGATAGACAGCTGGCACAGAGGATAACCAGCTGCTAAACGCGAACGGTCAGGGCATTTGTGGGGAATAGGAATTGGGTATGATTCAATAGCTCCAAGCTGAGGGCTTGTGGGGTTATTAACTAAACAGGGTTCAGGCCAAAATATCCATATTGGGAGAATTTGCCAACTTGGTTCTGTTCCCAATTCAGCTATTTTGGAGTAAAATTACAAAGCTCTTGGCATTTCTCCTGAATTCTAAATACAGTTAATAAACTCTTATACTCTTTTGTGTCCAACCCCATACAGAGTTGCATGATATGCTATGTGTATTTGGGATATATATATATATATATATCTCCATCTTCTACATAAAGTGGGTGGTACATGAAAAGGTCTGCCCTGGATGGAGTGGAATTATAAGTTAATCAATCCGAATGGGTATTGCCTTGTACGCTGGGTATCAGCCATGCTGCTGGGGATATACGTGGCTTTATATGTATGTATGCGGAGCTGTAGTGTTTGTTTGTACTGACGTTCTGGATTCTGCAGTGTTTCTTTCAATGTGGGACTGCAAACAATGCAGCTTATTGTATTACACGGCATTCACAGCATTGCTTTCTGGTTCCGTTACTGAACAGCTCACACATGTACATTCAGAATCCACATTCCAGGCACATTACGGCCTTCACAATATCCCTGTTTCTAGCGGGATGTGCTGCAGCTCATACGATTTCTTAGAGAACATTGAAATAAAATAAGTGACAGTGAACACTTTAAAATCTCTATGCTCTAATTCAAATAGCAGTACAAAAACCGAAGTCCCATGAAGAGACACAATTATATTAAAATAGCCAGGTGCAAACTATATAAACACTCCCTTAAATGTTTATCCAAATATCTATATAATCTAGAATGCACACTATAACAACTTCAATCATTAAGTACAATACGACTTAAGTATTAAGTAGAAAAAAAATCTCAATATCAGACAGAAATAGAGGCAAACGATCGTGCTATACCAAAAGAATCGTACAAGCCCCAAGGCAGAAACATAAGTTACCAACTCCCTCCTAGAGTTGATGGCTTGTAAGATTTATTGGTATTATATTATTGTTTGCCTCTATTTCTGTTCCTTTGTCTATTTTTGTTTATTTGTCTGATATTGAGAATTTTTTTTCTACTTAATAAAGTCGTATTGTACTTAAAAGATCACTATAGGGTCAGGAACACAAACATGTATTCCTGACCCTATAGTGTTAAAACCACCATCTAGCCCCCCTGGGCCCTCATGCCTCCATAAATATAGCAAATCTTACTGTATTCAAGCCTGAAGCTGTAACTCTGCATGCTGTTAGACTCAGAAAAACAAGCAGTCTGCTGACATCATCAGAAGTGGCAGCCTGATCCAATCACAGTGCTTCCCCATAGGATTGGGTGAGACTGACAAGGAGGCAGATCAGGGGCAGAGCCAGCATGATTCAAACACAGCCCTGGCCAATCAGCATCTCCTCATAGAGATGAATTGAATCAATGAATCTCTATGAGGAAAGTTCAGTGTCTGCATGCATAGGGAGGAGATACTGAATGTTTGGATGCATTTTAGGCAGCCATGACCCAGGAAGGATCTCTAACAGCCATCTGAGGGGTGGCCAGTGAAGTTATCACTAGGCTGTAATGTAAACACTGCATTTTCTCTGAAAAGACAGTGTTTACAGCAAAAAGCCTGAAGGTAATGATTCTGCTCACCAGAACAAATCCAAGAAGCTGTATCCTATACAATGATCTGTGTCCTATACAATAAGCTGTATATCATTCAATAAGCTGTAGTTGTTCTGGTGACTATAGTGTCCCTTTAATGATTGAAGTTGTTATAGTGTGCATTATATATCATATAGCTAATTCAAATAGCAGCCATATCCTGCCTCTAATAATCTCCGTTCCATTAGCTGCTTGGCCGTGTTTTGCCTTATCTGGTGCCCGAGATAATGATTCTAGCCAGATGACAGCTGCTGTATCTGAAACATAAGAAGGGTGGTATACAGTCTATATGGCTCTGCACATTCCATGGAACCATTTGTAATGCGCAAATTCTCTCCCAGATGGTCACAGTCACGGGATCTCTGTCTTTGCGTTGGCCACTGGCAAATTAATTTTGTATTATGTGGCCAGAATGGTTATCATGGAAACTAACGTCTGACTGAGGCTGATCGGAGATGGAATTCCCATAAATGTGCAGGGTAACAGTTGGCTATCACTTTTCTATGATCCCAGCTACTGGCTCTAACATATATTTTAGCTTCATTACTACACCAACACTGGTTGAATCTCCGTGTTTTATTGAATAATTGTGTGTGTGCTGTTTCTCAATCTATATTATAGATTGAGAAACAGCACAACTACTGAGAAATGCATGTTCTGTGAGTGCCCTCAATTCTGTTTTTTGTTCTCTATGTAGGTTTTAAATTTTTTTTAATTTTTAAATGTGTCCTTTATCAAAGGGGCACGGTAGCGTGACCGCATCATCTCACAGAAGTGTTTGTAGTGTCTGGAGTTCTCCAGCGCCATCTTTCTATTTGGTGTTAACCCGTTTTTAAAGGAACACTATAGGGCCAGAACATCTTACCCCTCTAAATATAGCAAAATCTTACCTTTATCGCAGTCTGCTGCTGCTGCTGGCTACCCCTGATCTGCCTGCTTGGCTGACATCATCAAAAGTGATTATCTGAGCCAATCACAATGCTTTCCCATAGATTTGCTGAGACTGTCAAGGAGGCAGATCAGCACAAGCCAAACACAGCCCTGGCCAATTAGCATCTCCGCATAGAGATACATTGAATCAATGATCTCTGTGAGGAAAGTTCAGTGCAGAGGGTGGAGACACTGAATGGCAGTCATACTGTGCAGCACTGCCCCAGGAAGCACCTCTAGCAGCCATCTGAGGAGTGGCTAGTGGAGGTATCCCTAGGCTTTAATGTCTGAAAAGACAGTGTTTACTGCAAAAAGCCATAAGGGAATGATTGTACTCACCAAAAAAAATACAATAAGCTGTAGTTGTTCTATAGATTATAGTGTCACTTTAATGCTAAATTAGACTCCCCAGCAGCCCATTCCATCTGTACTATGTGTAGAAGACATTAGCCTGGGCAGGAATGTGTGGATGTGAATGACTGAACATTTCCGCTTTCAGCCTATCACAGCATCCATAGCTGGTATGAGTTGGTATCACTACAAGGAAGTGCATAAACTTCCTTGTAGTGGCTGGCTGTGGGTGGCCAAGGGTGCCTATTTAGTGTTCAATTGTCCAAAAATGGTGTAACATTGAATTGAGGGACAGCACAAAGGCACAATAAACAATTCATTGAGATCAAACAGTTATAGCCTACTGTGACCCTTCAATTGATTTATCTTATTCTGTATAGGGGCTTAACATATTTAGTTGCATTTTACATGCATAGCCCATCACCATGCAAGAGTATTGTGTGTCTAAGAATATGTTAATCAAAGCTATTTCCTGGCATGGACTGACAAGGGAATTCAAAACACAGCCATGCTAACTGGTAACAATGGTAAAATAATCACAATATTTTATTTATTTATTTATTTTTTTTTTTTACTCGGTGGTTGCCCGGAATAATAAGAACACAAAACAAATGAAATGTTTAAATGGAACCTATAATAAAATCAAAAAGCGGCATTGTCTGTCTCCATATAATTCACATTTTGTGTTTTCTAATTCTGCTGTTTGACATTTTCCGATTTTTAAAAAGACTTCTGTAAATCTCTCTTTAGCCTTGCGTTGCTTTGTGCAGTAAACCCCGTGGCTGTGATAGGAGTCAGCTTGAGAATGGTCAGGTCTCAGCGTGGTGGTAGGGCTATGGCATTGAAGAATGTTTGAGTTCAAGCCATTCAATGAGTCATAGCCTTTATAAGAGATGGGAATTACAGTCACTCAGCACCTTACAGCGGGATTTAATGTCCGTTCGTAAACACAACACTAATCACTACAATAAACTTCATGCCAGCAGTAACTTCGCGTATTAACTCTTTCACTGCCAGACTCTCTTGCTTGAGAATCCACATAGCATTGCGGTATTTTTAAGCGGTTGATTGGAAACAATCTTTTTATAGGCATTGTTAGAATAAAAGGAAAGCATTCACATATTTTTTATTTGCTTAACTGGGAATTGTAGATTTGACAAGCGAAAGGTAAACTTTTTAACCATTTCACCAGCTCAGAGCATACACGTGAAGAAGGGAGGGGGAGGACATTTTTAAAAACCCACAGCCATGGAGGGGAGGTGAAAAATGAAACATTCTCAAAGTTTTCTATTACTTGCGTCGACATCGAGATATTATTGGGAACTGTCAAAAGCTAAATTTACCAATGAAATTCTTTATTCTATCGATCTTTAGTAAATTATTAAATCTGCTAAAGTATCTGACTTTAAAGCCACTCTTTACTTTTTAATGCAATCTTTGAGAAAAACTGATCAAGACTGCTAGACTGTCATTAAAATCCCATCGCAATCAAAAGATACCGTAAGACAAAGTAGGGACTACTTTGTCTCATCGTAAACATGAGAATGGAAAAAGGCAGAGCTCCACCGTTTGTTTTCCACCTGCTTTTGTCCAGTCCCAGCAGTGGTCTCAATTGACAGCTCTGGAATTCAGACATCGATCTATGGAGGCTCCCGCGGTCTCGATCCTACATACATAGACCTCATTGATGTATAATCTTGTGGCTCGTAACAGATGGAGCCACGAGCGTAAGAAGATGTACAGAGTAAAGATTGCGGCAGCACGAGGGACAGCTTCAGGTAAGTACTACTAACTTCCTTCACCTGCACCCCTTGGCCACCAGACCAATAAATCTATTGGCAAATCTGGTCTAGACAACTAAAACAAAAGATAAGGATTCCTTGTAAACAATGTGAAAGATCCATAATGGTGATTAGTAATAAATGATATCTTCCTTCCCAGCCAGAATTAATGATGTAACGTGGGAGGCAGTACATATCCTAAAATATTTTGTTGGTGTAACTTTTTTTTTTCAGTACAGAGACCTATAGGAAGAGAAGGTTTACATGTTATGTACACATTTTGTTTTGGCAAAATCATCAGCAAATGTTTTACTTAGAAGACGTTTGTGTCTCAATCCCTGCTATAGACTGATTCTTTTTCAGTGTACCCCTCACATTGGCAAGAGAGGCGTAATAATGCCTAATACTTTATGTACGTCTTGTTTTCAGCGACCGTGCTTCCGGTCTGTACCTCACTTCTATTTTTGAAGATAATGTGCTTATAGCTTATTTTGTTTTTATTTTCTTGCAGTGTCTTCGTCACATTGTCCTCTTGACTCCAAATCAAGTAGAAGGTAAGTTATTCGATACGGATACATGAACTCCTTGTTACAAAGACTGCTCAGCAATATGCATTAAATACATTTGTATAGACGTCTCTGGTGGTCTGTTGCATTCTCTGTACAAAGGGCAGACTGGAACTGGTGCATTCTTATTTTTCTCATATAGATAATGCATTTAAAAACAATGCAAAATATGCTTTAAAAAGATGGTCTAATTTGAAGTTGTTGCATCTGTAAGAAAACGCACCTCGTAATGTGTGATGTTGTAATTTGCTCTCACTAGGAAGGAGATTGATCTGTTAGGATGCTGTCATTCTGGTCTCTGTCCATGTTGATTCTATCACTAAAAGGGTTAAAGTGCAGATCATGGTCTAGCTGTTAAAATCCCAATGTAGAGATTAGCAATATGATAGTCACTAGCCTACATATGAGATTACTCACTTGCTATAAATCTGTCAAGCTATCTGTTTATCCACACACCCTGTAGAAGGGAGAGGCTGATCAGTTGTCTCGATTTGCCTCCGAGAAGAGTCCTGGGACTTGTAGTTCAATTATAATCTTTCTATTTAAAGCTGGTTGCTGATATACACCCCCTTAAACCATTTGCTTTGCTAAGAATTCTGTGATGGAGTGGGTGGGCTTATAGAGCTCTAATGTCGTTATTATTTATATAGCGCCAACAAATTCCGCAGCGCTTTACAGTGGGTGTACCTTAGTTAAGGAACCAGCAACAAAGAAGTATTTTAGAAGAAAAGATGTCAGCCAGACAAGTTAGAATTAAGAGGCAGAACCTGTATATTTTGTGTGTCTTTTCATTTGTTCGTTCCTGTACATCCAGCAATGTGGTCTACATGATTCAATGCACCAAATGCCACCTGGGATGCTACATTGAGGAAACCACCCAGCCATTAAATGGCAGAATGAATATGCAAAGACACTCCATTAAACACCACAAGGAATGATCGTACTGCACTCCTGTGGGACACCACTTTACCCAGCCTGGCCACTCACTAAAGGACCTAAAATCAAAGTACTGAAAGGGGGTTTCAAAATACCCAAGAAAGAAAAACTTTTGAAGCCAGAATGATTAAATGGTTTAACAGCAAGAAGAGAGGACTAAATATGGATTTGGGATTCCCGTCCCACTACCAACACTTTACATGAACACTCTCCCAGCATTATCTTACTATTCTGTCATATGTATCCACACTTTAAAATGCATTCCTATATGTTTATTCTATCAATATAAAAGTACTATTTGTAGACCTATGCTTTCCCATATGCTTATGCATGTATGCTTACATATGTGACTGTGCATTTATGTTTGTGAATGTGAGTTCATGTGCATGTATGTATGTGTTTATGTATTTATGTGTATGTGTATACATGTATGTATTTGTGTGTCTGTGTGTGTGTGTGTATATATATATGAATAGGTGTGTGGGTGTGTGTACATATATATGGGCATTTGGTTGTATTTATATGTATATTGTATGTTCTTGTGTATACTTGTACATATGCAGTACTTGTGTATATGTACGTGAGTGTGCACTTGTCTGTGTATGCTGAATATAGGCCTTCATGCATATCCTATAACGGCTGGATGGGAATTCATACATTCTGTATATTAATACTCCAGCACCGTCTTCTGCACTGTTCCCTTGTTTTTCTCTCTCTCTCTCTCTCTCTCTCTCCCCCCCCTTACTCTGTGATATTCACATAAGATATTTACGACCCTCTGCAAGGATGGTGTCTATGTTCTATCTTGAGAAAGGGAGGTTATCCCGAAAGCTTGTCATTTAAAAATTCTGTTAGTCCAATAAAAAAGGTATTACAAGATGTGAATGTTATCTGTTTTTTTTTTACACACACACATATATATATATATATACATATATATTTTCACTTAAACAACACAATGTAACTCCAAGTCAATCACACTTCTGTGAAATCAAACTGTCCACTTAGGAAGCAACACTGAGTGACAATCGCTTTCACATGCTGTTGTGCAAATGGGATGGACAACAGGTGGAAATTATTGGCAATTAGCAAAACACCCCCAATAATGGAGTGGTTCTGCAGGTGGTGACCACAGACCACTTCTCAGTTCCTGTGCTTCCTGGCTGATGGTTTGGTCACCTTTGAATGCTTGCGGTGCTTTCACTCTAGTGGTAGCATGAGACGGAGTCTACAACCCACACAAGTGGCTCAGGTAGTGCAACTCATCCAGGATGGCACATCAATGCGAGCTGTGGCAAGAAGGTTTGCTGTGTCTGTCAGCGTAGTGTCCAGAGCATGGAGGCGCTACCAGGATACAGGCCAGTACATCAGGAGACGTGGAGGAGGGCAACAACCCAGCAGCAGGACCGCTACCTCTGCCTTTGTGCAAGGAGGAACAGGAGGAGCACTTCCAGAGCCCTGCAAAATGACCTCCAGCAGGCCACAAATGTGCATGTGTCTGCTCAAACGGTCAGAAACAGACTCCATGAGGGCCTGACGTCCACAGGTGGGGGTTGTGCTTACAGCCCAACACCGTGAAGGACATTTGGCATTTGCCAGAGAACACAAAGATTGGCAAATTCGCCACTGGCGCCCTGTGCTCTTCACAGATGAAAGCAGGTTCACACTGAGCACATGTGACAGACGTGACAGAGTCAGGAGACGCCGTGGAGAACGTTCTGCTTCCTGCAACATCCTCCAGCATGACCGGTTTGGCAGTGGGTCAGTAATGGTGTGGGGTGGCATTTCTTTGGGGGGGCTGCACAGCCCTCCATGTGCTCGCCAGAGGTAGCCTGACTGCCATTAGGTACCGAGATTAGATCCTCAGACCCCTTGTGAGACCATATGCTGGTGCGGTTGGCCCTGGGTTCCTCCTAATGCAAGACAATGCTAGACCTCATGTGGCTGGAGTGTGTCAGCAGCTATGGACTGGCCCAACCGTTCCCCAGATCTGAATCCAATTGAGCACATCTGGGACATCATGTCTCGCTCCATCCACCAACGTCACGTTGCAACACAGACTGTCCGGGAGTTGGCAGATGCTTTAGTCCAGGTCTGGGAGGAGGTCCCTCAGGAGACCATCCACCACCTCATCAGGAGCATGCACAGGCGTTGTAGGGAGGTCATACAGGCACATGGAGGCCACACACACTACTGAGCCTCATTTTGACTTGTTTTAAGGACATTATATCAAAGTTGGATCAGCCTGTAGTGTGTTTTTTCCACTTTAATTTTTTTAATTTTGAGTGTGACTCCAATCCAGACATCCATGGGTTGAAAAATTTGATTTCCATTTTTTTTATTATTGTGTGATTTTGTTGTCAGCACATTCAACTATGTAAAGAACAAAGTATTTCAGAAGAATATTTAAGATCTAGGATGTGTTATTTTGGTGTTCCATTTATTTTTTTGAGCAGTGTAATATATATATAATATATGTGTGTGTGTGTGTGTGTGTGTGTGTAATATATATATACATATAATAACATTTCTTGTCTCTGCAATGTACTGGCAGCCAACCCATCTTGTTTGTTTCAGGGAGCAGGGCAGGGGGCATGAACCGCGAGGGAGCCCCCGGGAAGAGTCCGGAAGAAATGTATATACAACAGAAGGTGCGAGTCCTGCTGATGCTCCGGAAGATGGGTTCTAATGTGAGTCTTTGTGATTCTTACCAACAAGGTTCCTATAGTAAACAGATTGTGTACTTTCAGTAACAGGGCGGTTACTAGGACCGCTTCAGTAACGTCCTTGTTTTTAAAATTGATTGCAGTGATTGTATTCTTCAACGTGGCTACAATAATTCTGTTTTATAAGAGTAATTGCAATATTTCTGCGTTGATATTTTTGGAGAGTGAGTGCAGTAATTCTGTATTTTATAAGAGGGATGGGAGTGATTCCGTATCTGTATTATATAAGTATGATCGAAGGGTTCCAAAAAGGCAGAGTGGCTGCAATTAGGATGATATGGTATGGGCAACGTCATTTCAATAATTACATTATTATTATACAACACTTATTTATTTAGAACACTATTTCATTATTTGTAACTTCATTATTTAGTAAATAATAATTTTTAGTATTTTTAGAGTGCAATTATTACTTGTCTGAGTGCAGTGATTCTTTGTGTTATGTCAGTGAAATTATTTTTTCTATCTTTGATCAAATGTCGTTGTTCACACAATTGTTTAATTTGTCTTCTGCGTCTTGTAGCTCACCCCTAGTGAAGAGGGGTTTTTACGTTCATATGCCGGAGTGGTTAATAGCCAGCTCAGCCAGCTACCCCAGCATTCCATCGATCAGGGTAAGTCTTTCTATAACGATGGCATTCACTACTAACCCATAACTAAGTGGGTTATTACAAACCTTATTAGTTTGTGTTTTAACACAATCTCTGTAAAACTGCCTCTGTTCCCCTTTCCCATAGAAGCAGGTTATTGCTGTTGTAACCGCATGTGGTTCCCTTATTTACCACTATAATGTCTTAAAGCATAGAACTTAGTAGGGCTAACCATACAGATATCTTAGCCATAATTTTATATAGTTAGTAAGAGATCCTCTATTTACCATATATAAATAATTGAGAATACAATATAAAATAAGGATTGTCTTGGAAGCAAGATTGTCTTTTGGATATTTATTATATAAAAATATAAAATCCATTATAGCAGAGTTTATAAGATTAAATTACATGCTTGCAAATATCATTAATAGGTTAACATACCCTTCTGAACATGTCATCATGTCAGCCTCTCTGTCATTTTAAGATGGAGCAGCGTCTGTCTCCAAGTCTCTCCTCTGTGTCTTAACATTTAAAAGTACACCTATTTATACCTTAGGTGTCTCCATTTTAGGTTACTGTAGTTCAAATATGAAAAAGTAACACTTCTTTTACTTTATTCATTTTAGGACCTCCCTTAATTTGGCAAACATACAAGGCCATAACTAAAGGGTGTATACGTCATGGAAATTTTCCTGACTTAATTCAAGATCTTAAAGTCTGGGCATCCTTATCTACTTAAGGTTACCACAGTATATTGTGTACTGAAAGAGTCGTAGTATAGCCTTGAAGCTTGTTTATGCATTATTGTTATTGTAATTCGTCTGGGACAAAATGGCGCAAACATATTATGCACTGAGGTTATTGCTATGAAAAACAATATGTTCCATTTCTAACACCTTGTCAGTTTGCAATATCTCTTAAAGACAAAGTACACAGTTTAAGAAATACAACATTTCATTCTAAAACTTGTAATATTTGCATTTGCCCATAACACTGTCAGTGGTTTTCTCACTGATTGTCTTGGTATTTGTGTGTTATTCATTGCTGGTTTTAGGCTTGGGTTACGGATTACTATTGTGCACAGTAGTTATGTGTGTGTGTGTCTCCTTTTAGAAGTTTTGCATAGACGATCATGTGAACAGGTTCAGCGAGGTGTGCTCTACTTTGCTTCATTGGTGTGACACAGTCTCTGGTGTATGATGCAGTTTTATTTGATATGCTTTGATGGGGGGAATGCAATATAACCAGCATGTATTTTTCCCGTAGGATGTATAGTGTGTTAGCTGTTGTTAACTTCTTTGTACCAGGCAAGAGGCTGTCGTTATGATTTTGGATAACTTCTTTTTGCCACATACTTGTGTATACACGATTGCCAGGGTATGCAGCCATACGTGTAACTTAAATTGGGTTATTGCAAAGGAATTTTGTTTGCAAATTATACGATGAATACTATCAGCTCACAGCTCTATAGCACCGGGAGCCATGGCGCTCTGGGCATCCTAGAGAACAGCTGTTTGGGAACTGAGAGAGGGGAGCACACTCAGTAAATGTGCTGTTAGACTGACAGCAGCTATCAGACAGTCTCAGAAAGAATCTACACTTTATGTGATAATGGAGCAGGGAAGCAGCATGTACTTAGAGACTGCATGATAGCTGCAGCATCTCTCGCAGTACACCATAACCAGGGTAAATGTGTGTGTGTTTGGGGGTTGGGGTGGGGAGGAAGGTGACAATGTGTCAGTCAGCATGTATATATGTGTGTGTGTTTGTCTCTGACATTGTGTTTGGCACCGCGTATCCTTTTGTGTTTACCTGCCAGTTGTCAGTGAGTGTCTGAAATATGTTTGTGTGCGTGTTTCAGTGTATATTTGTGTGTGTGTATCCAAAAAGGCACAGTGGATGCAATGAGGATGATCTGCTATGGGCAACGTCATGGCAATAATGACATTATAAGTATACAATACTTATTTATTTAAAACACTATTTCCTTATCTGTAACTTCATTATTTTATTTTCAAACCAAAATGTTTAATTTTTGTTTCAATTGTATTAAATGCCATCTATGCGTACTAAAACAAAAAAAATGTATTTAGACATTACTTTCCAGGTCACCCAAAATACTTGGATTCTGAAGGTTTCTTTTTCTTTTCAATTACAGATATAAACCGTGTAAATAAAGAACATTTCTGAATACTGACCTATTCTTCAACATTCTATAATCCTATCACATAAACATTATCCCATATGTACCAATATTGTCTTTGGGAACACACAAGTAAATACATATACACACACCCCCACACATGCTCCGTGACATGCATCAAGTGTTACTCACAAACACATACATACTGATACACAGACACACACATACTGACGGAAACAGTCAGTGTTTGTCTGACAGAGTGTGTTTAGCATTGTGAATGTGTGTGTGTGTGTGTGTGTGTGTGTTGGTGCATATTGATGTATATTTGTATCTAGAAGGTATAGCTGCTGTCTGTGAATGTGTATCTTTGTGTGGGGGAGCTGCTTGTCGTGTGTTGTGTGTATGGCATGGCTAGTTGTGAGTTGGTATATGTTCTGTGTGTTATGAGGGTGATTGTGGAGACTCCCGAAGTGAATGGGGGGTTACTGTGAGGGCTACTTTATGAGTGGAGAGTGTATGTTTGCGCCCAGTCTCCCCATACACATAACTTATTTGTGACCTCCTTCCCTTCTCTTCTACTTGATCACTTTGTTCAGTTTAAGCATGTTTGTTGATGGGTACTTGGTGCCCGTTTTTCATATTATCTTTGATGTATGGAGTTACTATGAATCCTTTTTATTCTCTTTTCTTTGTATATTTAGTTCCGTATGTTTTGTAATACTGCTTGGAAACTCCAATAAATTTGAATTGGAAACAACATGTGACACTGGGTGACACTGCGTGACACTGCTTAAAGAAAGAATTGATACTTTCATCTTCTGTTGTGACTATAACGACCTCTAGGTGTCGCTGCAATCCCTCGCTCGGTTATATCCTCACACTGGAATGGTGATTGGGGACCCAACTGTGCTGACTGTGTGAGGCCTTCTAGATATTATGAGTCTCCCTGGTGGAATATTATTATTATTATTATTATTATTACTACTTCTATTTATAAAGCGCCGACGTCTGATGTGCATAATTTGTCAGTAAGAAGAGATGACTGTTTTCCATGTTAGATGGATTTCTTACCCTGTTATTTTCTGGCTGGGGATATTATTTTCCATGCCTTCAATACATAAAATACACATGGGTTTATTTATAGAAAGGGGAGCTATCTGTAACTATAAGCATTTCCTTCTTTTTGCATTCTTTGTGCCTGAGACGTATAGTTTTTACTACAATTATTGTAACTTGATTTTTCTGCCTTTAAATCTCCTTATCTCTCTCCCACCAGTATGAACTTGCACAGGGTTTATTCACTAAACCGCTAAGAATGCATGTAAACATCTGTATGCCCAGGAATGGCATATTTGATAACACTCCCAGAATGCAATGCATAATATACAAATGAGTATAATCAACACTTTTAAGTTTTCAGACAGACATTGCTCTTTGGCTCTCTTAGCTACTTATATAAATATGGTTCAAAACTTTAAATCCCGTACTACTATTCAGCCCTCTGTACTCATCACTGCAATCCTGGAGTGTCCATGGTACACTCACCAGAGTGTGAATGATCACTTGACCCAAGGCTAGTGGAGAGTACAATTTTTAGGTGTGTGTTCCAGATCTCTTATTAGCCAAACCTATGAGGAGGGGGGTCGTTTTATTCTCCTTCAGTTATCGTGTGAACCATCTGCAGAAATTCACTACAGTTGGCTGTTGATGGCACATGTGTAGGTGTAAAAATCGTGGGAGGATTCAATATTTCGTTTATCTATTCAGTGTTAAAGTACAGTATATTCATTTTGTGTGTATTTATCTGGTGGTAAAGGCCTTGGAAACAAATATTGGAGGGGAAAACCATTTATTTCTTTTTTTCATCCCAGAGCCATTTTTTGTTTTGTCTGTGTTTTTTTTCTGGGAAAATGTTAAAAAATCTGGCATGTGGAATATGTTCTTTTCCAATGATAAATAATGTTTATGACGTGGTATTCAAACTATATAACATGAATACCTTCATGAAAGACTTTATGTAAGTTCTCTCACCTGAAGTACAATTCAAACACTGAGAATACAATTCTCACATAAGCTCAATATGCATTTCTGTATCTCAGGCCCCTGCAGAGAAAACGGTGTCTAGTTTGGTTGTGTCCAGGCTCCATCTTGATGATGTACACAGTAGTAATTGTTGGTATGCAATAGTTGATGTATAGAAGGTGATTGTTGGTATACAGTAGTTGATGGTATACAGAAGGTGATTGTTGGTATACAGCAGTTGATGGTATACAGAAGGTGATTGTTGGTATACAGCAGTTGATGGTATACAGAAGGTGATTGTTGGTATACAGCAGTGATGGTATACAGAAGGTGATTGTTGGTATACAGCAGTTGATGGTATACAGAAGGTGATTGATGGTATACGGTAGTTGATGGTATACAGCAGGTGATTGTTGGTATACAGTAGTTGGTATACAGTAGTTGATTGTTGGTATACAGTAGTTGATGATATTCAGAAGGTGATTGTTGGTATACAGTATTCGATGATATTCAGAAGGTGATTGTTGGTATACAGCATTTTTTTATTTTATTTATTTTTTTACATTCTTTATTTTAGGTGCGCTTTCAGGTATACAAAAGCTTGTCTGGCCACAACAGCCAGGACGGGCACTGTCATAATAATGCAGGGTATAAAGAGTAAGACCGTAAATGATAAGCATGACATCACATTAAACATTTTGCACAGTTTTTGTATATCGGGGGTGTAGTCCCCGGGGAGAAGGAGGGTGGGAACTGTGTAGCTTCTGTGTTGTGAGGATTAATTTCCTCTCCCTGATCGGTTTCTAGTAGTATACGATGCTATCAAAGATTACGTGGAGACTGAGTGTTCGTATACTAGGTGTTCGTGGGTGGGCTGATGTTAGTTCATGAAGGTGCTAATAGTAGAGTATGTTGTTGCAGCTTAATAAATCATGAGAACAATGGTGAGGAAAGTGTATGGGTAGCCACGGTAGTGGGGATATCATGGGGATGGTCTTGGCTCACCTAGCAGGTAAGTACCACTAACCAAGGGGGTATCGGGGTGGGGGCGGTTGTATATCTCTTGTGGGTGTGTCTAGTGTGTGTGAGATGGGTCTGAGACTGCTCTTTTCTGGACCCTGTAGTAGAAGGCACGAACAATAATAGAGTAGCGAAAGAGTAGGTCAACACAGGTTATAACAGGGGTTAGTAGAGCATAAAATATAAAACAAGAACAAAAGAAGACAACCTTCTGATGTTATACAGTAAGTCTTAAAGTGGCTAGGTTTGCCAAAGTAGTTGATGGTCTACAGTAGTTGATTGTTAATATACAATAGTTGATGACATACAGAAGGTGTTTGTTGATTTTTGGTATACTAAAGGTGATTGTTGGTATACAGCAGTTGATGATGTGACAAACTCCCCTTTTCCTGTGAGTTTGCCACGAGTTTTTGGAGGGGCTTGGTTGCCAGCCTCTTGCCCTGTGACTATGGCCCCTGGAATGTATTGCCCTTTAAACACTATATTTGGGCATATTGGATTTTAACATACTGTTTCTGCCCCTTTAAATTATATGGGAATAGCTTTGCAGCTTTGACGTGGCACTTCAGATACAGCCGAAGTAGTCGAAGTGGCCGCCATTTGACATACGAACACGTGGCGGTGGCCATTTTAATTCAGTCGAACACGTTCAGTGGGGTTTGGTCGTCGAGTTCATGAGAACTCAAATCGGACACACGACGGCACGAACACCGCTGAACTTTACCTTCTCCAGACTTCAACTCTTTCGACTGGAGTCGAACGCCATTTGACAATTGGAACGGCACTCTAACAGTGACATTTGCAGGAACGGTTGCCGTTCGTCTATTTTAACTGACTTTAACATGGTAAATAAACCTGCCGCACAGCCAAATTCTGTGGAACTGTTTTGAGCAGGAAAGCCATGCTGCGGTCGGTCATAAGAGACCTCCATAGACACTTGAACCCCATGGCGATTTGACTATGTTCGTGGGATCTGAGCGTTGTTCAGATATATTGGGTGCTCAGATCCAAGCTATCTGGGGATATGTCACAAGTGGGGGTTCGGTCCTGTGAAACAGAAGTTATGTGTTTTTGTTACAGTTTTAACGTAGGAATATTTTCTGTACCTGGAGATAATTGAGTTTACTACAGCCACTTAAGCCAATTACCTCCAGGATAGAGGGGAGGGATTTTACTGTGTATGTGGGAGTGTTACTGTGTTAATTATTGTTCCCATTGGTTTTTGTCCCAGTTTACCACCAGGTCGAGGGGGTGTGCCTCTGGCCTGAAAATGTGTATAAAAGAAATGCCTTTGTGCGCATTAAACAGATAATCTTGCACTTTCATGACGTTTCGGCTCATGTTTGGGGGATTTGAGAACTACACTCTGGGGATTGCTATAATCACTATACTCCCCAGGGTATAATCACTAGACTCTGCTAAGAGCTTGTTCCTGTTCCGGCTCTCTGGATTTAAGAGAGGTTCACCCACTGGGAGCTGGACCCTGGTCTTGGGTCACAGGGTGGGTAGGAGACTGCGAGACCCCAACCAAGCTGCAGCGGTTCGTGGGGTCTGCATTGGTTATGGTGTTGGTGGAGTGCTTGGAGCCCTCGGGAAGCACTAGGAGGTACTCGGTCGGGGTGCCAGGCGATCCGTTACAGATGGTATACAGAAGGTGATTGTTGGTATACAGAAGGTGATTGTTGGTATACAGAAGGTGATTGTTGGTATACAGCAGTTGATGATATACAGAAGGTGATTGTTGGTATACAGCAGTTGATGGTATACAGAAGGTGATTGTTGGTATACAGCAGTTGATGGTATACAGAAGGTGATTGTTGGTATACAGCAGTTGATGGTATACAGAAGGTGATTTTTGGTATATAGCAGTTGATGATATACAGTAGTTGATTGTTGGTATACAGTATTTGATGATATTCAGAAGGTGGTTGTTGGTTTACAGTTATTCATTTGTATTTATTTCTAAAATATTTTACCAGGAAGGATACATTGAGATTTCTCTTGTTTTCAAGTATGTCCTGGGTAATAGTTGATTTTTGGTATACAGTAGTTGATGATATACATAAGGTGTTTGTTAATATACAGTAGTTCATGGTATACAGTAGTTGTTTTTATTTTATATATATCTTTATTTTTAAGAGCAAGAATTAAAACATATACTTTGACAGCCATGTCAAAGTGTTCAACATTTCAACTCGGTACATATATGCATAGCGAAATACAGTTTTCATCTTTTTTTTACGTATTGGTCGGTCTGTGGTAAACCACTCCTGGGGCGCCAAGAACGCTGTCGGGGTCTGGTGGTAGTAAGGCTAGATGGGCAAAGGGTCTAATGGGGTTGGCCTCAATGTATATGACTGGATCTTCCACTGTGGTGGTTCTGTGGTTGGCACCCCATGGTTTGAGAGTGATTGACCATCTATGTCTAGGGAGTAGTCGTTTAGAATTGCGTTGCCTAATTTCTAGTGCTGAGGAAGCTGCATGGATGGTCTAAGTGAGGTCCTAGTGTTTGATTCCTGTATAGCACATCTAGTTTGTTCAGGGCTGAGGTTAATGGAGCTTTTGTGTATGTGTGTCTGGTCTGACTAGGTGGTTGGCTGAGTTGCTGCAGTGAGAATGGGCAGACTGGTGTTGTGTTTGTAGCAGGGAAGCTCCAATGAGTGCACTGCCCCTGTACCCTGAGGCCATTTGGGGAAATGAATTTTGTGCGGTGAGTGGCCGCATTGTTTTGCGCCCCAGGAGTGTGTCTCTGCTTAAGTCCTGGAAGAGGGATAGTTGGCATGTCTCGAAGTTGGAAGGAGTCTTCCCCCGGAATACCGCTAGTAGCCCCAGCTTGTCTGTCATTGTGCAGCAGTGCAATATGAGGTCACCTGGCGCCGAGGTGGGAACCTGTGGCACCAAGGTGGGAGCCTGCGGCAACTTGGCGATTCTGTACACTCCCAACCAGAATTGTTTGGCCTGCTTGGCTGGTAAGACTGCACCCACTGATTAAATGAGGCAGTTCCTCTAGGGGTAGCGTCTCTGGGACCCCTCTAATTTTTAAGTTTTTTTCTCCTGCCCCTATCGTCCATCACATTGAGCTGTCTGGCCATTATGGCCTGCGCTTGCTGTAGCGGTTGGACTGTGTCACTTAGAGCAAGCTGGTCTTGTTTTAGGCCTGCGAGGCTTGTTACAGTCGCCTGAGTGCTTGCTGCCACCACTTGTACTGTGGTTGTTAAAGCATCTAGGTCAGCCTCCCACATCTGTTTCAAATTTTGTTGTAGGCCTGTGAGCATATTTTGTATGTCTCTTTTAGAGGCCGGGCTGTGGTCTCCTGCCGAGTGTGTTAGCACCGAGTTAAGCTGGATGGGGGGCTACCTAGGAGGCCCTTGTCCCCTGAGGATGCTGGGAAGGCCGAGCGTGGTGGCTGGGTCTGTTGTGAGGAGGGAGCTAGCAGCATGTGGCCGATGTCCCTTGGCAATTTCGGGGTTTGATTTCTAGTCATGTTCTACCCATCACTGCATAATCTTTTTCTATAGTCTGGATGTCCTCATGCAGAGCATGAGGTCGTCCAGCGTCAGGTGACCGAAAGTCGCTTAACAAGCAGGAAGTGCCTCTAGTGGGCAGTCGTTACCCTGCAATGTTATTACAGTTTCTGCAATAATTAAAGGGACACTATAGTCCCCAGAACAACTACAGCTTAATTTATTTATAAAATATTTTACCAGGAAATATACACTGAGATTTCGCTCGTTTTCAAGTATGTCGTTGTTCTGGTGAGTAAAATTGCTCCCTTCAGACATTTTCATGTAAACACTGCCTTTTCAGAGAAAAGGCAGTGTTTACATTGCCTCTAGGGACACCTCCAAGTGGCCACTCCTCGGATGGCCACTGGAGGTGCTTCCTGGCTCAGGGCTGCACAGTAAGCAGCACTGCCGTAGAGCGTCTCCACGCTCTGCATGGGGATGCTGAATTTCCCTCATAGAGCTCTGTGCGCCTAAAGGGTGAGAAAGCATGATAGGAGTTGTAGTTTTCCAGCACCTGTCGCTGCAGGTTCTACATGTGCTGTCCAGGTTCTGCCCTCTCACCCCCACTGCTGCTGCTCTCCTCCCCAGGCCAGCAGGAGGCAGGCTGCCGTCTCCCCCATAGACAGGTGTTTTCTTTTCCCAGTGGAGGTTGCACCTGTCGGGGATGTCGGGTGGGGTGCTCACCCAGTGCTGGGACAGGTCCCCTGAATTACCTTGCCAGGAAGCCGAGCTGGCAATCCTCCCCTCGGCCCTCTGCTCCCGAGTCACATGACCGCCCAGCACCTGCCTTCCGCGACACCTTCCAGAAAGCATGCTGCAACACAGGGGTTACAAATACTAGAGAATGCTGCTCATGGCTTGTCCTGTACCGTTTCTACTTCCGTGCGCTACTTTCTTAGGTGTTTACAACTCCTGTGTGCTGCACATTTGACGTTTTTTTATATATATCTGGCAGCTCACTGTGCTGGGTTTCTTATTGTGGGACAACCAACGTCTGGTCCTCTGCTGCTATCCTGAAGCCGGATTAAAATAGAAAATTAACAACCTGCTGGAGGGGTGTAATTTTCGGCACATTTGGCCCATTTTCGGCTGAAATGGGATAGGCCCATATCCGGACGAAAATTTCGGTGCATCCCTATTTAAGATTGCAGGACTATGGGGGGAGGGGGCAGGGACACTGCACCCAGACCTCTTCAATGAGCCGAAGTGTTCTGGGGGCCTATAGTGTCCCTTTAATAGGTGTATTCTGTGTGTACAGGATTTCATTGTTGTTAATAAGTATATTCCCAGTATACCTGATCTATTTGGTATTAAAAGATATATATTTTGTGTCTACGGATTCAATTGGGTGTTAATTGGTATATTCTGTGTGTACAAATTCTATTGGATGTTAATAGGTGTATTCTGTGTGTGCGGATTCTATTGGGTGTTAATAGGTGTATTCTGTGTGTGCAGATTCTATTGGGTGTTAATAGGTGTATTCTGTGTGGACGGATTCTATTGGGTGTTAATTGGTGTATTCTGTGTGCACGGATTCTATTGGGTGTTAATTTGTGTATTGTGTGTGTACGGATTCTATTGGGTGTTAATAGGTGTATTCTGTGTGCACGGATTCTATTGGGTGTTAATTGGTGTATTCTGTGTGCACGGATTCTATTGGGTGTTAATTTGTGTATTGTGTGTGTACGGATTCTATTGGGTGTTAATTGGTGTATTCTGTGTGGACGGATTCTATTGGGTGTTAATAGGTGTATTCTGTGTGCACGGATTCTATTGGATGTTTACTAATTTCATGACGTAAAGTCATGATTTTATAAAGGACACGGAGGCGAGTATTGTGCTTTCTCTTTCTTTATTATACCTCAGCAGCAAAGAAAAAATGTATAAACATTAAAGAAACCAAACTAGACTAAGTACTCAAAGGGTTAACATAGTCTGCTATCCTTAACCAATAGGAACAGTCCTTCTATCCATAACCACCCATGTGACCTCTCCTCTCCCTCTTTCTTTGATCCTGCCGAAGCCGAAATTTTAGAATCTTGCGTAGATAGTTTGAATCATAACTGGTACTTCGTTATCTTCTCCATAACAAAACATGAACATTAACCAATCGAACGGAGACGATAACCGCTCATCCATTTCGTCGACTTGAAGTCGTTAAACTGAAACGGGAGAGAAAAGAAATATGGTAACGTGTGGTCTAGCGACTGTTTGTTACATACTCCACAAATATTCCTTATTTTACTTGACAAACTCTACAGATTACCTTACCTGCTGTAGACCTCCTTATGTCACATGCCTCAATCCTACTATTCCCCAAACGTCATACCAACCTCATCATAATTATCTTAGCAATACAACTTACTGGGTGGGAGTTCGAATCTCTTCTTTCATCTAATACCAACTTCGCGGTACTTACCACATTATCTCCGCGATCCTTCTCGGGTGGGCCAATAACCGCCTCCGTGTCCTTTATAAAATCATGACTTTACGTCATGAAATTAATAAAATCTGGTAGTTTTATTAAAGGACACGGAGGCTCATATTGTGCTAGTTTAAAGCTGAGCAATGACCGTGTTCTGTAGGGCGAAAGTAATATTCTTTAAAAGTGGGCTCCCGTGACCAATCCGCTGTACGTAAAAGATCTTCCAATCTGCAGCCTAACTTAAATGCTTTGGTCGCAATAGCTCCCCTAGTGGAGTGTGCCTTGTACATGGAGGTATCAATATTTGCGGAGGCCATTACCCATTTCACCCATCGGGCTATCGTAACCGATGATACTGGGTGATGCGGTGCCTTGATGGCTATAAATAGTTCATGTCTACTAGGGTCTCGTAATGTCTGTGTTCGTTCCTCATACTCTTTGAGACAAACTATAGGGCATAGATTTACATTGTGAGGGAATGCTGGATAAGATACCGTAGAAATTGCGGTTTTTGTACGCCTGGAAATGTTAAACGTCACTCCCAATGGAGTGAACGAGCATGCATCCACATCCAATGCTCACACCTTGGACACCCTTTAACATGATATCAAGCAGAAAAGCATTGCTAGTTTCGCTGATAATTGTTTCAGTGTAAGGTCGGCATTCTGTGGCCATTGTTCTAGTAAATTCAAGACTAAATTTTACGTCCCACGTTGACGTATACCTGGGTGGGGGTCTTGCAAATCGGACACCACGTAGGAGTCTGCACACCATTGTGTGTCTCCCTATTGGTGCACTTTCTAACCCGTGATGTCCAGCCGAAATCGCTGACCTATAGCCATTAATAGTCCGGTATGCTAGACCTTGCTCGAACAACCATGTCAAGAAACGTAGAATGCTGTTCAAAGGAGCACATACAGGATCCACTTGTTGTTCCATGAACCAACCACTCCAGACGTTCCATGCCCGTCTGTAGGAACTCCGAGTTCCTGGGGCCCAGGCTCCCTCCAGTAGTTCCAGCGTCGTCCGTGGAACCTCTGGTACGACCCAGGGTCCCCTGAAAGGAGCCAAGCTAGCAGCCTGAGTTGCCCTTGCAGCAATAACGGGTGTGAGTTCCCTTCCGGATCCGTCAAGAGATGAGGGACCGCGGGTAATAGTCTAGGGAGGTCTATAGGCATCTCCATGAGGGAAGGGAACCATGGCCGTGTTGTCCATAATGGTGTTATTAGGACTAGAGTTATCCGCGAGCGGTCGAGATGGACCAATGTTCGTGCTAGCAGAGCGAACGGTGGGAATGCATAGAGCCTCTTCCTCGGCCATGCCTGGAGGAACGCATCCGTAGCCACTGCTTCCGGGTCTGGTCTCCAGCTGAAGAACTCTGGTAGGTGCGTATTCAAACGAGACGCAAACAGATCCATGTGCATCGGGCCCCACAGTCTTTGTAATCGCAGGAATACTTTGCGATTGTCGCCAATCGCTGTTGTCCCGCAGGTATCTGGAATTCCAATCCGCCACCGTATTTGAGAGGCCTGGGATGTATTCGGCCCGTACTGAAATGTTGCGATCCAGGCAAAACTGCCAGAAGTCCATGGCTAAATCCTCCAAAAGTTTGGATTTGGTGCCGCGTAGGCGGTTGATGTACTGTACCGCTGATATGTTGTCCATCCGTAGAATGATGGAACAATGTGTCCTGGCTCCCAGAAGACTTCTCAGTGCGAATGATCCCACCATGAGCTCCAAGCCGTTGATATGCAGCGTTCTTTTCAATTGGGACCATCTTCCGCCTGTGGAGATATGACCACAATGCGCTCCCCAGCCCTGCCTGCTGGCATCGGATTCTATTATGCAATCCGGGGCGCTGCCGAAAATCGCTTTGCCGTTCCACGCCTCCATGTGTTGCATCCACCACTCGAGTTCCGCCTTGGCCGTGTGATCTAGTTGCACGGAGTCTGAATAAGATCGACCTGATTGTAGATGTGTAGTTTTCAATCTTTGTAGGGCCCTGTAGTGTAGAGGTCCCGGGAAGATCGCCTGAATGGATGCTGAGAGGAGTCCAATTATCCTGGCTAGCTGTCGTACCGTTAGTGTCAGGTGACGTAACGTTCTGTGGATCTCCTTTTTGATGATCTTGATCTTTTCCTGCGGTAAATTCAGTGTTCCTTGGACTGCTTCGATAGTTCCATGGACTGTGAGGGGATCAGCACCGACTTCTCCAAGTTGATGAGAAAACAGAGGTTGCGCAAAAGCTGTATCGCCCACGATAAGTGTTGTTGGAGTAGGCTTACCTCCTGCGCCATGATCAATATATTGTCCAAATAAATGATCATGCGCATTCCTCTGCTGCGTAGCAGCGCCACCACCGGTTTCAAGAGCTTCGTAAAGCACCACGGAGCGGAAGACAGGCCGAAAGGGAGGCACCTGAACCTCCACATCTGCTCGTTCCACTGGAACTGGAGGAGGTGGCGACATTCCTCCGCGATGGGGATGGTAAGATAGGCATCCTGGAGGTCCAATTTGACCATCCAGTCTCCCAGCTTGAGGAGGTCTCGCAGACAATGGATCCCCTCCATTTTGAAGTGGTGATACCGTACGTACGCATTGAGGGGGCGTAGGTTTATCACCGGTCTTACCCCGCCGCCCTTTTTGGGGACCAGAAATAGGTTGCTCAGGAAACCTGGAGAATGATACGCGACTTGATAAAGCGCGCCCTTCTCCCTTAATGCTCTGATTTCCTGTGGCACGAGACCCCTGTCCCGTGGGGTAAACAACATTGGCCGAGGGGCTGCCGGTTGGACTGGGGTTTGCACAAATTCTATATGATACCCTACAACAGTGTTGAGAACCCAAGCATCGGACATGAGCCCGTGCCATGCCCCGATAAAATGGGATAGTCTGCCCCCTACATACTAAGTACACAACCGCGAAGCAGGAAGGGTACTTACCATAAGGTCGTCGGCCGTGCGCAGCGCCTCTGCATCCTCTGGGCTGCCATGGCCTGCCCCTGACAGGAAAGAATGGTGAAGGGTTCCTGATCTCCGGTCTGTGGGAATCTGGGTGCGGGGGAGCCTCGGTAGCCCCGATAGGAGCCCCTTGATGACCGGCTGGACAGACGGCCCCGTTGTCTGCCAGCCCCTCCAAAAACTTTTGGGGTGAACACCCGCTTCAAGTTTGTTTGCACCTTGTCCAGGGCCGTAAACGTATTTACATAATTGCCTAATTCCTTGACAAAATTGTCCCCGAAAAGGAGACCTTTTGCCTGTGGTCCAGGTTCAGTAATGGCCATGTTGACCAGTTTCGGGTCAATTTTCATGAGGACCGCCTTGTGCCTCTCTGTACAAAGCGCAGCGTTGGAATTGCCAATAAGACATATAGAGCGTTGTGCCCACTCTCGGATAGCCAAGAGGTCCACTGGCGTGCCACTTGAAAGCGTCTCCTCGACCATGTCGAAGATTTTTGTGCTGGGGCCTAGCGAGTCAAGTACTTTATCTTTGCAGTGGCATAGCGAATAATCTAGCCCTTTCTTGGCTTTCCAGCCCGACTTTCCCAAAAATTGGGCAATCTTTGGGTCCAGTTCTGGTGTGGCGCACGCCATATCCGGAACTGTTGGGCGCGGGCATTCAGCCCTCAACTTATTCCTGGCGGCCTTGTCTAGGGGTTTTCTAATTCTGGCCGCTATATATTGGGCCACGTGGTCCGCTGGGAACCATTCTGTCGACCTAGGATGTTGAAGGTCGTCAGGGTTAAATAGGGGTTCCCCTTGCGGATCCAGTATAACGGAATCATCCGTTTTTTCTTGACCCTTGGTGGTTGGCCTAACAGAAAAACTGCGCTTCGGAGAAGAGTTCTCCGATTCCAGTGAGCCCATTTCGTCAGACTCACTCAATACCTCCTCTTGGTCCGAATCAGAGTCGGATATGTCTCTCCTGGCTTTCGCCCATTTCCATGACTGCACCCTTTTTGCCCGGTGGGAGGCTCTCTTACGTGGGGGTCCCACATCCTCATCAGTGACAGGACGCAACCTGTCCGTCAATGTTGTTTTGGAGGTGTGTTTGCCCATATGATGGGTCTTTTCAGTAGCCTTGCGACCGCTGAGGGGAGCAGGCTTATCATCTTGGGCCTTGGAGCAGGGGTCCTTGGGGTTGTGGCCAGACGCCATGATGGCGTTACTGATGGATTGGGTCAGGTTATCTGACATTGCCCCCATCGCTGTGTAGATTGCTTGTGTGACCGATTTTGCCATCGTTGCATCTAGCAGAGAATGGAACTCTTCTGAGTTCAGTTGATCCACTGACGCCACCTCCTCCCCTTAAGAGGAGATGGGCTGCGGAACCAGGGACCCACGAGTTGTGGTGCCCAGACTGCCTGTAGTCAGTGACCCGCTCCTGATCCTTGGGGTGCTGCATAATGAAATAGTACTGCTGTACCAATCTATGGCAACTGAGTGAAGTGATTTTATACTGCTGGCCCTTTAAGGAACCCTTTTATGTTTTATTTGGGAATGTAATGTGGTTGCAGACACCCACAAGCCTGTCACTTTAAGCCCCAGTGAGAGTGAACCACTATGTAGCTTGAAAATCTGAAAAGGTCTGTAACTAAGCAGGGTGATAGGGCAAGGCACAAACAAGCTGTCAGCTTACCTAGTGTTCCCTCCGGAATGGCAGCCCTAGCCCACATCCAATCCAAACGCTCCCGCCCTCCAGGAGGCTGGGAGTGTCGGAGCAAAAGCGCGGCAAAACTGCAGAGAAGCCGACAGTTAAAATGGCCGCCGCGCTATGCGAATGCGCATGTGCGCGCCGCCCCGAGCCGAGAATGTCCGCACCGGCAACAGCCGCTGCGGAGATCAGCTGTTAACCGCCCGACACCAAACGGAGCACGGGTAATAAACTACCCGACGAGGAGGGGGAGGGAGGGAAGCTGTTCATCTCCCAAACAGAAAAGCAAGAGCAGGCTAAAGACCGTTAGTCCTACCACTAAGGTCCCTAAAGGCAACCCTCAGGGCTCTAACCTCCCAGCACTCCCCACAGATACAGTAAATACAGATTCTACAAAGAATATACAACTTAGAACTTAGTAAATCTAACAGACTATGAAAGAACAATTACAATAAACATTAGTATCAATCTAATTATCCAACGGTAATAACATAATGTTAGAGAGCTAAAATTAGGTGATACTTCGCTTCGGCAGCAGCAAAGAAAGAGGGAGAGGAGAGGTCACATGGGTGGTTATGGATAGAAGGACTGTTCCTATTGGTTAAGGATAGCAGACTATGTTAACCCTTTGAGTAATTAGTCTAGTTTGGTTTCTTTAATGTTTATACATTTTTTCTTTGCTGCTGAGGTAGAATAAAGAAAGAGAAAGCACAATACTCGCCTCCGTGTCCTTTATAAAATCGGATATTGTGTGTGTGAATAATGCAATATTCTTATAAGTTGCCATTTGTGCAAACTTGGGTTTTCCTGATTTTATTATTTTTGCAGGAGGGAAGATTTCTCTGTAGGTTCCTTGTGATCTACAATCCTTATTAAACATCCAAAAGCTAACCTGCCCTTGCAGCTTAGCCATCCCGTCGCCATAGTAACTAGAGCGCCGTCTCTTCAATCTGCCGGTGACGGAGGCTGCTCCCAGGGGGGGTGAGGCGGGGGGGGGGGAGCAGATTATTAGAGCAAATCCATTCGCCTGCATCTCACAGTAATTCTGCTTCTAATTCAATACCTGCAATGGGATTTGTCCGTTTCTCTCGCCTTTTAAGTTTTTTGATTTATCCTGGGCAATCTATGCATACGGAGGGCGGACTCTTTAAATCTGATCCCAAGTGCGTTCTCCGTATCACTTTCAGGGAACAGGTCTAAATGGTGCCTTCATTTGGCATCAAACAATGTAGAAAAAAAAGAATTGCCTTGAGGAGAATGCTAATTAAAAGCCTATGTATACAATGAAATCGATGACAAGATTGGGTACTCTTTAAAAATAAACTCCCATATTTAACAATGCGTGAAGGAAAGGTTTTATAAATAATAACAGAAGTGAAGAGAGCCTCGCTAGGGGAGGGAATCCTAGAGAATTAGTGGTTTGCAACAGCTGTCGCTCAGTATTCTAAAAGGACCAGATTTATTCCTTATCCGCATCCTGTAGGTGAGCCACCTGCTCTGGAGCTCAGACAGTTAAAGAGAAAGTAGCATTTTTATTAACGGTATATTAGCGGTTTGTTTATGTTTGGGGCGCTAACGTATACAGTAAGGTGTGTGTGGGGGGGCAGGGGGTTGTTGTTTTTTTATACTTTATTTGAATGTGTTTTTCATTGTAATGCAGTAGGAAGAGGTTTTTTTAAAAGGCTTTAGTGTGAGCAAAGGACAGTTGCTACCAAATGGGAAAAAATTGTGTCTGTGTTAATGTATAAAATTATTCCCGCCAGATATTTTCAGTGCAACAGCTGCGTGAAAGTGATCTAATTTTAGCTTATAAGTGTTGTCGCAAACTGTGTGTAAAATTAGATAAAGAAAAATGCAGAATTTTTACACTTTATTGTGCTACGATTTTTTGCCACCCTTTTTATAGCGTGATCTGTACGGGTTGAAAAGTCACCTTGTAAAAATGAGACACCTTTCGGATTAAAACAAAATACAGTTGTGGCTGTGTTTGTTACGCCTTCGGATGCCTTTATAAAGATAGTACGGGCACAAATGGAGAAATTAGACGGATAGATGGTGGGTTATGTCAGAAATAGCACCATTATTTATTTATAACCCTCTGTGTTTGTCTAAAGAGACATGTTGCTGCCACGCTGTGATGTCTCCTTTTGCAATGTTAAGGGTTGTGTCACGAAGACTCATTCCCCCAGCTCTGCGCGGTGGCTGAGAGTACAGTACGTTATCACTGGCATAGATTGCACGTATCTGTGCTGGAGACTGGACTGACACGAGAGCTCATTGTAATCTAGAATTAATGTATGTTCATTATAAAAAGTACTCATAAGCAAGTCACCCACAGCATGTGTACTGGATTCTGCATGGGAAGGAATGAAGTCATAATAATGTAATAATGAAAGCAAGAATGCGTTCTTTAGATCTTTGTCAGTGTTACAGGTAGCAGGCTGCACAGGATCGGTTACTTTATTTAACATGTTATGAGGACAATGATTCGAATATGCCGTATAAGCCATGACTGCTGAAATGTCTTAGTAACCCCATTGAATGATTTTTACTTAACACCACAGTATTGGCATTGTTGTAAGAGAACTAAGCTTGTAAATCTGAGTTGATCACTTACGTAAGTTACTGTAAACGTGATAAATACATTCAGTGGAACCATAGTGTCTGCTTTGCTGGAGAATCCTTACACTATACCTGGTTCAGCTGACTTTGTAAAACTGTTGCTGTCTGTCTATGTAAGTTTAAAAGGACATTCCAAGCACACAGCATTTTATTATTCGTAAACTGAAGAAAATCTTGCATCTACGAACCTGCCTCTTAGTGATTGACATCACAGCAGAAAGCTATACTGCCTACTTTGGACCTACAAATATTTCTACATTGTGCGCAGGCTAATCAAAATTCTGAATCTGTCCACAAGCTGATAGCAGTTTAGGCTGCTACTTCATCCTGTCTGATGAATGAATTTGCACTCCACTGCTAAAATTGTAATTTTTATTTATTTTTCTTTAAAGCAGATTGTATAACCAATTGTTAACTTTATTAGCAATTTAAAAAAACAAAAAAAAACAAAAGAGAATATAAGCAGGCAGTTGCTAATTTTAGGCCAAAATAGCTGATTTGGAAAACATTTACAATTCCATTATTTTGCTTAAAATTAGCAAGTGCATTTTCAGGTACAAAGTGAAATGAAGTGGTCATGGTGCCTTAAGTCTGTATGTGCAGTGTTTAGCAATGAAATGCTGCATATATGGAGATTAACCTCTCCACCCCCGGCAACCTCATTGGGGTGTCATCAGTCAGCTCAGATCTAGGGTTCCTGGCTGGCTAATGTCAATTCTGTGCGACTTTCATTGGACAGAACGTCTAGCTGGAAGCTGGGTATATGTCACTGGACCGCCAGGAAACATCAGAACCTGACAGTGACCCAGATAAGAAGGCAAACCTTCCTAAATGGTTTTCCCAATTACAGGGTACTTCTGGTATTCTAACCACTACAGAGGGCTGTAATTATTAGTGTTATTATTATCATCGCCATTTATAATAATAATAATTACAGCCCTCTGTAGTGGTTAGAATACCAGATGAACCTTGACTTGGTTACAATGCTTGGAGTAACCCTTTTAATCTTTCAATGCATATATTGTCACATTCATTCTTTCTCTTGTGTTTCTAGGTGCTGAGGACGTAGTGATGGCTTTTTCTAGATCAGAAACAGAAGATCGGAGGCAGTAATTGGACCGAAGTCACTGCCAAATCAAGAGCACACAAGGGGAAGATGGAGACTATCCAGAGCTTCCGGAGATACCTTGGTGGTTCTTTGGAAGCTTTGTTATATTTTCCCCACGTTTTTACACTCTCCCAAAGTTTACGTAACATTTTAGTTTGTGTCCCCTGCTCCTCAGACTCTCCCCGCAGGCCACCTGTTTGTACTTCCATGTATTGCACAAGAGAGGCTATTCCTATAGGTCCATGTGAAGGACAGCTGACTATCCCACAGAGAAGAGACTCGTCAGTGTTTACGTGGAGACTGACCTTGATTTTATCGGTTTTAATTTTTGCATTTTCTCATTTCCATTCCTGGAACAAGAATCTCTCTGTATGAATCCACCACAGTTCCTCTCACTCGCTGAGCTGAACACCTGGCTCTTTTACAACTGGAAGTTGGATTGGGATTATAAATGTTAAAGCTACGTGCTGTCCATTTAGAAATCATATATGGACTTAATTTCATTTTGTATTAGCATTTTTTTTTTTAAATTTATTTCTTAATGTTGCGGCTTTGGTTGTTACAACACTGTGTTTTTGACTTGAAAGAAATGAGTTTGTTTTTTTGCAATATTTATTACAAGGAGGCTAGTTTGAAAGAAACAAGTTCTCCTGGATTTTCGGTTTAATGTTTAGAGATTACCTGGGGCAATAACATGTGGTTATGATTTTACTACATCTTTTGCCCAGAGAGCCACACAACCATCAGGTTAACGTTGAGTACTGGAGGGAAGAATGTCGTACCTTTCCTGAACTCAAAGAATGGATGAATGTGCCATTACGTCATGGCAGCTCCTGTCCTGAGATTGTCACTAGACCACAAACTCCCTTATCTGTGTTAATTTGCAGAGGAACAGTGATTTTTAAACCCTTGGCGTATTTTGATGAGTCTTCCCGTCTGCCTCTGGCTTTGTTTGCACTTACATTTGCACCCATTTATGTAAGTAGGTGCCAATCAAAGTGAGATCCCGTATCTAGAGAAGGAAGATTGATGAGAAGCTGTCAGAATGAAATGATACAGAGGAGTGACCAAACGGTAGATACTTCTCCATCTGTTGTAGAACTAAATCTTCCATGGTGCTCAGCCAGTCTTCAGCCTAAGGTCAAACATGCCCTCCATCCCAGAAACCCTTAATTGAAAGTGACTTTTTATGAAATATTCATCCAGTGTGTTTGAAATACAATTTAAGCTGCTGGGATGAGCCTATTGCTTTTCTGGCAGACTGCGAATCAGAGAGGTTTTGTGCTGTTATGAGAATTAAACGATTAATTTGTTGATTGTAATTTCCTTGTGAGGAGATGCACAAACCTGGACTGTAAACTACTTTGCAAGGAATTCTGTCTAAAAAAAGCAGCTTCTAATGTCTGCTAGAAAGGCAACCCAAATGTTGGTTGAGAGTTTAGTCATGGCCTTTTTTAATAAGGCTTCGCTGCAGCAAGTAAAGGGTCTGTCCGCAGGAATATGACCATGTCGACGAGACTTAGCAACTTTTAAGGGTTTTTTAAATCTAAATATATACAGGGTGTGAATTCATCCAGAGTAGCTGGCTAAGAGAATTCTAACAATTTGGATACTTTGTATTCTCATTTTTAGTGTATAACTCTAAGTTTTGTTTTGTTTAAGGTAATTTATTTGAGTATGTGTGTTTGTGTTTTTCTGTGTCTGGAAATAACAGGGTCTAAGTATGAACACGTGCGTGTGTGATCATATCTGTGGAATGCATGTGTAGATTGTCACTGCTAGGTCATGTACAATTTGTATTTTCACATCTACATAAAATAAACTTCCTTTAACTGGCCAGTTAGTCAGAACTGTAATATACCAAGATACAGAGATTATTAATGCCACGCCAACAGTAGCCTCATACCTAGTGACATTGTGCTAAGGCTAGAACTGCAGATCCCTCATTGTAAAGCAAAGTATCCCTTTTTATATCCGCTTTTATGGAAACTCATATGAACGGTAATTAAAATATGCTCCCTTTGGGAGTCTTCACTGTGATTTAAGGGCCTTCTCTGGTTCCAGAACAAGGAGAGTAGTAGAATATAGAAAGAGTGAAAGCTTGGATCGGATGTACAGGATGAGACTTAACGCCTGCGGAGCGGGTGTTTCCATTCTCTGTATTTTTGTTGTTTTTAAAACATTTAGTGTGTTAGTGTTGCCTTTTTATTTCATTAAATTGTACATTCTTACACTTTGTGCAATATGTTTCCATACCCGTGGAGTCGACAAGAAGAGTACTAAATTTGTATCATTGAGGCATAGTATGCTTGTTCTATCACTGCATTCTGAATGCATGCTGCACACAGTTTTTGCGTTGGGCTGGCTGAGCCTCAAGGGAAATGTAGTTCACACACATGTGCGGTGCCACGGTTAATCATCCCCGTCCTGTGAGCTTTAAGGTTTGATTTTGGTGTAAAACACCACCTGATTATAAGTGAATTTTATCGTTGGGTCTATGTGGTCTCTGCCTTTATACATCATGCTCATTGAACTCAAAATGAGCCTGTTCCCTTTTACTTAAAGCTCTGCCCAATCACCCATTTTGTCATTAGTTCGGGACTACCTATTTTTAAATTTTTTTTATTTAATTAGATGCTTTAATTGGGGAAATCTGAAACCCAGATTGTAAAATTAGAGGACTATATTGTATATTTTTTCTTTCTATCCTTTTTTGGGGGGGTTTCTATGAATTTCAAAAAAAGCCGAGACTCTGTATAATTTGACATGCCTGCTGATGACTGTCCTATTTAATAATGCAAATAATTCCCTACTAATGCATTAAACTATGTGTGTTTTCCCCCTTTACTGCCTCACCCCTGGGCTGGGGAGGGCGCAACCATTTCCTTTTAACGCATGCCTTCATCCCTAATGTTTTTGGATTAAAAAAATATATATATATTTCAGGGAAACAGGAGCACAACCAGCAGTAATGTGTGCGTAGATTGAGAATGTGTCAAATTCCAGAGGTTACCTGTTCCTGACATAGTGTAATGATTAATAAAAGGCAGATGTTGATGTTTTAGTCTGGTTATATGTATAATTTTACACACATACTTAAAATTCAAACCATTGTTACAAAAATAAGTGAGTGGTTCGTAAAGGAACACAAAACTGTATTCCTAACGTTAGTGTCCCTCTGCCCCCGTATATAACAGAAAAGGCAAAATGGAGTTTATTGTGTATATTAAAACCGCATGAAGAAAACAAATGGCATTTGGAAAGTTATTAGTCTTGTCAAAGAGTTTGGAAGAAGAAAAATGACATGGTGACAAATAAATGGGACCCAGGATTTCTATAAGGGGAGATGGTGGGTTCAGTACAGGCTTCACCCCTGAGAAATGACAAACGTTTTCTATCTTTGGGTGGGGAGTTAAATCGTGTAAGTTATTTATTTAAACAATGATTTTCATGTATAGTTTCTTTGCTAACACTGATTCATCATAACGGAGTGAGTGCCTTTTAGTGGGTACCAGACGTGTAAGACACATTCAGACCTGACCCTCCCATCACACCATATTTAAACAGCTGGGAGAGGTGGAAGTAACTGTATTTGTGTTAATACAAAATGTAACATGTTATATGAGACGATAAAACGGATTTTACTCATTTGTTTGTGTCTCGTACTTTTTATTTTTTTTATTTTTTTCGTTCCTCCTTTGTCAATGAAAAGATAGGTAAAACATTAGGGATGCACCGAAATTTTCAGCTGAAAACGGGTCAAATTAATATTTATAAAATTATAGGGAAAACATTTTTTTAAATCCTTTGGGGGAAAAGTAATTTTCGTTTTTTGGCCAAGGGCATCCTGAATTTTCATTTCGTTGCATCCCTATAAAACATTTGAACTCCTGAAAAGCCATGTATTTATCGTTTGGAACATAACCCATTTCTTCCCTCCAACATGTGCTAACGTTTGTTTGTTATTAAAAATCAATGAAAGTCCCACTCAACCTGACCTTTGGTCCTTCATTAATTTTCACCTTGTAGAGAATAGGATCACAGTTGTCTTTGGTCAAACTTCACATCCTCATTCTAGGAGAGAGGGCTGTGAGGATATTGCGTACACCATAGGGTTTATTTATCAATGCCCTTTTTATAGCACAGATATTTCTCATGATATGCTAAACGTTTTGCCCCAGTACCCGGGATGTGTGCCAGGGTACTCTTGGCATTTTAACCACTGCAGTGGGCTTAGAGCAACCTTTTTAATGTATTGTATAATTAGTAAATATTGTAACATCGTCTTGGTGAACTCCCAGGAGTAACTGATTAGGTGTCTGATAACCGAGAAAAAGGTTCATTCACAAATCAACTGGGTTCGTTTTTTTATTTTACTAGATTTTGCAATTCAGTTTTCTCCAATTCACCGTTTAGCAAATTCATCTCCTCATTGTTTGGCAGCTGAGGTGGTTGGTTGTGAGTCACTGGTTTTTACGACTGGCATGAATCATAGCTGATGCACACAGCAGGGTGAGGCTGTGTTCAAGCTGTTTAATCTTTATTTCAGACTCAGCAATGACTAATGAAACTCTCACCTGCTTGCCTGAAGCTAGCCTCTTATTAAAGTCTAGAGGTACAGCAAAACTGGAATTCCATTCCCCCAGGCACAGGTATACAGTAGCATTCAATATGTGCATACACAAATAGAATATCTTATATCTTTTATTTATTTAAACAAGCCAAGTCCCAAAAGGTCAGACAGCCTTTTAAATAAATTAAAATACGCAAGTAGATCTCTTTTCTGTGCCAATGTCTGCAGTGCTACGACTTCAGAGGGTTAGCCCAACCAATTCTTGATATCCCACTAAAATCAATGGGGGAGACAGGTCAGGGCCTCGGAATTTCCACTCGCCATTGGTGAGTGAAAACGAATCCTGATGAGTACACACTCCTGGTGACCATGCCGTGGAATAGGCAGAACATATATAACACAGGATAGGACTGACTTCTCTTTTCCCAACTTCTGTGCTTGTCAGGGGGAAAAAAAGTGAAACCGGCACGTAGTGCACAACTGAATAACACCAATCAACACTTTACTAAGTTGCATTTACACGACAGAGAAAGGTTAAAAGCCCATCAAAATGTTAAATTCTTCTTCTCCAAGGGAGAAATTCGTATGCATCCACCAGGAACTAGAAGTATAACAAAATCAATCAAGTAAAATACAAAATAAAGGTGTCCAATTGCCCTATGCGTGTCGTCTGTCCTTGGACTTCGTCGGGGAATCCAGCATGTATGGGAAAAACCCTGCATTGTCCTGGTTTAAAATTCTAAACACATACTTATCTCAGCAGCACCTACCGTTTTCAGAGTAACCCTATTACGCCGTGATGCTTAGTCGTATCTCTGGCGCCTACTGAGAAATGCTGTATAAACGTATTTCTTCCAAATGTTGTTTAAGCACATGTACCCTCTAAGCATCCACCACATGGCTGGGTTCCAATTTACCTGGTCCGATCTGGCTGTAACAAGACAGCCAAGCTTATAATGTAACTAAATATATATAATCGCACAACTCCTAGCTAACCCTAGGATACGTATCAGGTTCTATAAAAACAGCGCATGTGACATTTCTCTTTAACCCCTTAAGGACACATGACGTGTGACATGTCATAATTTCCTTTTATTCCAGAAGTTTGGTCCTTAATGGGTTAAAGGAAGCAGCCACTTGTGCATTCACAATACATCTGTAAACTGACGTAAATCGATGTCAATTATAGCTGCTTGTGTTCACATGAAATCTGTGCATAAAACAGACCCTAATTATTTTATTTTTTTCTGTTTTGATGTGTTTTTTTTAATCACTAATAAATTCACTCATGAAACGCCAGATTGTAGTAAACTAAAAGCCACTCTGTTCCCATATTCCAGTTGGAGAAATTACTCTGATCTATTACTTTGGTTGCAATGATTCCATTCGGATTTTAATTAGGTGGAATTCAGAATTTAGTGAATAGCATTGTTAGTAGTAAACAGAAAAGCGCATTTTGAAAATGATTTATTGCATATCTGAAACCTAGAAAGAGCCATTGAATTGGAATCAATAACACTAAAACACAACGCTGTATATATAAAGATACTATTACAAAAAAATCACTCCTAGCCCCATAAAATCTTGCACTTAATACATAGATTATGGTGCAAGGAGTTTACCTATCCTGCAAAGGAGACTGTAACCCCTATCAACAGTTACCCAAGCTCTAAAGGTAACCCCTATCAACAGTTACCCAAGCTCCAAAGGTAACCCCTATCAACAGTTACCCAAGCTCCAAAGGTAACCCCTATCAACAGTTACCCAAGCTCCAAAGGTAACCCCTATCAACAGTTACCCAAGCTCTAAAGGTAACCCCTATCAACAGTTACCCAAGCTCCAAAGGTAACCCCTAGCAACAGTTAACCAATCTCTAAAAGGCAACCCCTAGAAATAAAGGTAACCCCTACTCCCAGTTAACCAAGCTCTAAAGGTAACCCCTAAGCAACAGTAAACCAAGCTCTAAAGGTAACCCCTAAGCAACAGTAAACCAAGCTCTAAAGGAAACCCCTAGCAACAGTTACCCAAGATCTAAAGGTAACCCCTAGCAACAGTTACCCAAGCTCTAAAGGTAACCCCTAGCAACAGATACCCAAGCTCTAAAGGTAACCCCTAGCAACAGTAAACCAAGCTCTAATGGTAACCCCTAGCAACAGCTACCCAAGCTCTAAAGGTCACCCTTAGCAACAGTTACCCAAGCTCTAAAGGTAACCCTAGCAACAGATACCCAAGCTCTAATGGTAACCCCTAGCAACAGCTACCCAAGCTCTAAAGGTCACCCGCAGCAACAGTTACCCAAGCTCTAAAGGTAACCCTAGCAACAGATACCCAAGCTCTAAAGGTAACCCCTAGCAACAGTTACCCAAGCTCCAAAGGTAACCCCTAGCAACAGTTACCCAAGCTCTAAAGGTAACCCCTATCAACAGATACCCAAGCTCTAAAGGTAACCCCTAGCAACAGCTACCCAAGCTCTAAAGGTAACCCCTAGCAACAGATACCCAAGCTCTAAAGGTAACCCATAGCAACAGTAAACCAAGCTCTAAAGGTCACCCGCAGCAACAGATACCCAAGCTCTAAAGGTAACCCTAGCAACAGTAACCCCTTAGCAACAGTTACCCAAGCTCTAAAGGTAACCCCTAGCAACAAATACCCAAGCTCTAAAGGTAACCAGAAACCAAGCTCTAAAGGTAACCCCTAGCAACAGTAAACCAAGCTCTAAAGGTAACCAACAACTACCCAAGCTCTAAGGTCACCCAGGCAACAGTTACCCAAGCTCTAAAGGTAACTAGCAACAGATACCCAAGCTCTGGTAACCACTAGCAACAGTTAACCAATCTCTAAAAGGCAACCCCTAGAAATAAAGGTAACCCCTACTCCCAGTTAACCAAGCTCTAAAGGTAACCCCTAAGCAACAGTAAACCAAGCTCTAAAGGTAACCCCTAGCAACAGTTACCCAAGCTCTAAAGGTAACCCCTAGCAACAGATAAGCTCTAAAGGTAACCCCTAAACAGATACCCAAGCTCTAAAGGTAACCCCTAGCAACAGCTACCCAAGCTCTAAAGGTCACCCGCAGCAACAGATACCCAAGCTCTAAAGGTAACCCCTTAGCAACAGTTACCCAAGCTCTAAAGGTAACCCCTAACAACCGATACCCAGGCTCTAAAGGTAACCCCTAGCAACAAATACCCAAGCTCTAAAGGTAACCCCTAGCCGATACCCAGGCTCTAACCCCTAGCAACAGATACCCAAGCTCTAAAGGTAACCCCTTAGCAACAGTTACCCAAGCTCTAAAGGTAACCCCTAGCAACCGATACCCAGGCTCTAAAGGTAACCCCTAGCAACAAATACCCAAGCTCTAAAGGTAACCCCTATCAACAGTTACCCAAGCTCCAAAGGTAACCCCTAGAAACAGTTAACCAATCTCTAAAAGGCAACCCCTAGAAATAAAGGTAACCCCTACTCCCAGTTAACCAAGCTCTAAAGGTAACCCCTAAGCAACAGTAAACCAAGCTCTAAAGGTAACCCCTAAGCAACAGTAAACCAAGCTCTAAAGGTAACCCCTAAGCAACAGTAAACCAAGCTCTAAAGGTAACCCCTAGCAACAGTTACCCAAGCTCTAAAGGTAACCCCTAGCAACAGTTACCCAAGCTCTAAAGGTAACCCCTAGCAACAGATACCCAAGCTCTAAAGGTAACCCCTAGCAACAGTAAACCAAGTTCTAAAGGTAACCCCTAGCAACAGCTACCCAAGCTCTAAAGGTCACCCGCAGCAACAGTTACCCAAGCTCTAAAGGTAACCCTAGCAACAGATACCCAAGCTCTAAAGGTAACCCCTAGCAACAGTTACCCAAGCTCCAAAGGTAACCCCTAGCAACAGTTACCCAAGCTCTAAAGGTAACCCCATCAACAGATACCCAAGCTCTAAAGGTAACCCCTAGCAACAGCTACCCAAGCTCTAAAGGTAACCCCTAGCAACAGATACCCAAGCTCTAAAGGTAACCCCTAGCAACAGTAAACCAAGCTCTAAAGGTAACCCCTAGCAACAGTAAACCAAGCTCTAAAGGTCACCCGCAGCAACAGATACCCAAGCTCTAAAGGTAACCCTAGCAACAGATACCCAAGCTCTAAAGGTAACCCCTAGCAACAAATACCCAAGCTCTAAAGGTAACCCCTAGCAACAGTAAACCAAGCTCTAAAGGTAACCCCTAGCAACAGTAAACCAAGCTCTAAAGGTAACCCCTAGCAACAGCTACCCAAGCTCTAAAGGTCACCCGCAGCAACAGTTACCCAAGCTCTAAAGGTAACCCCTAGCAACAGATACCCAAGCTCTAAAGGTAACCACTAGCAACAGTTAACCAATCTCTAAAAGGCAACCCCTAGAAATAAAGGTAACCCCTACTCCCAGTTAACCAAGCTCTAAAGGTAACCCCTAAGCAACAGTAAACCAAGCTCTAAAGGTAACCCCTAGCAACAGTTACCCAAGCTCTAA